AATGCCTGAAATTGTGCCGACCATATGTTCTGCGCTTTGTCGCTGGAGTGGCGCACTGGAGTGTGGTCGGGTGAAGAAGCTGGTGAGGAGGGATTGGAGGAATCTAACTGTTCAGTTTCCCCAGGAGGAGACCAAGTTTTGAGAACCTCCTGGGCAGTAGGTTCCGAGCTGGGCGCCACCACTGGGACAGGGGAAACCACGCTTGTCCCATTGGAATTGGTTCTCTGCGCCCTGCTAATTTGTCGTTCTAAAGCCAAATGTCTCCTCAAAGCCTCTCGCTCAGTCGTTTTAGATTGTCCCTTCTGAGTAAGGTGCTTTGTTTTAGCCTTCTTCTTCCCCCCCACCTCTGGTTCAGAAGATCTGCGTTTTTGTTGCTGCTGTGGGGGGGACAATTGAGGGACCTCAGTGACTGAATACGAGACATTGTCTGCCATTGCGCCAGGCACCCCGAGTGGGCAATGCCTGGAGTGGGGGAATAAGATACGCAGATCAGATGCAGATGCTTGGGGCTGTTGCCCTCTTCTGCCTATACAAACAATGGCCGGACAGACAGGATTCTTTGGACAGGAGATCCTGCAAAGCAGTGACTAAAGGTCACTATAGGAACAGTTAGAGAAATTATTCCTCCTCACCTCCTCACCTAAGTCCAGACACAATGCATTTAATATCTCCCTCTCCCCCAGTCTGTGGCTGTGGCAGCAGACCACGATCAGAACTGATGGTAGTTCTCTTTCTTTTTCCTCTTCCTTCCTCTTGCCCCAATGTGTTGAGGTAACCTCAGGCAATTGCATAAAGGATCCCTTCTTTATCTGCAGGGGAAAGGAGCCCGGATGGTAGCCCCACCCACAAAGGAAAACAGCGGATTGATCCGCTCGTTCAAAATGGCGAATGGGAGGAAGCCACGCCTCCCAATAGTAGCCCGGGAAGCCACGAGGCTCAAACAATGGCGGATCTTTAAATTCAGCAATAAGGTAATTCCTTTGGCCTTAAGGGGGCTGCGCCTCTCCGCTGAGGAGAAAGAACGGCGCTAGAGCTCTGCTCTGTTCAGGGCGTGCTTCTCGCGCCGCTCAGCTGATCGATGCCGAGCGGCGCCGCGGTTTGGTGCTTCCCGCGCCGCTCAGCTGTTTAGCGCCGAGCGGCGCCTCTGCTCCGTCGGCCGAGCAGAGTCGGCCACTCAGCTGTTTGGCGGGCCGGAGAGTGGCGAGCAATCCGGTGTGAGGTCCCCGCGCCAAACAGCTGCTCGGCGGGCCGGATATCGGCGAGCGATCCGGCCCCGGTCCAAGCCTCCCTGGCTAGCCGCCCTGAAGCCCCTCTCACCACTCCGACGATCCTGGCTGCACCCGTCAAAGATTCTATCAGCTGCCAGAAAACCTTGCTTTCAAATTGGAAGGAAGAGGGGATGATTTCTCTTTTTTGGAGTGAAATTCCTTTTTTGTTTTCTGAGAGCTGCTTCTCGCACTTCTACCAGGCTTCGAGACTGAGTCAAAACTGGGGTCACGCCCAAAGGAAGGGGTGTGGCCAAAGTTTTTACCCAGTCTGCCGGGCAGGAAGGCTGTCATAGAACCCATCCATTGGACTCTACAGCCATCCTGCTGGAGAAAGATAACATTTGTAAAAAATGGCTATAATCTTCCTTAATACAGAAAAAATGATAATCTAGAGTAGTTTTATGTCTTCACCATTAAAAGAGTTGCGGCTCTAACTTTTTCACGTGGATACAGAATATTTATAAAACAAAACCAAAGATAATAATAAATGGCTTTTTATCACAATGTTATAAAAAGGGACCTCTTTTCCTGATTTGTTTATTGCTAAAAAAAAGCCATACTTCAATATCAATTTTTATGCCTGTATAATGTTGAGAGTAATTGTGTAACATTAATCAAACTAATAAATTGAATAGTATTTTGGACAGAAAGTTTGTTACCAGGCCTATTAAAATAGATGAATGGTATAAGCTACTTGAATTATGCATTTAACACTTGCTGGTTTTTAATGCAAAGGGTTCCAAGTCTAAATCTAAAATAATTGATTTATTTCTGTACTCATAATTTGTTGGTAGAATATATTTTGCGCTAGACTATCACAGCTATATTAGATAAATGTTTTGCTGTATATACCGTGTTTCCCCGAAAGACCAACACCCAAAATAAGCCCTAGTTTGATTTTTGGGGTGGGCCTAATATAAGCCCTATCTCCAAAATAAGGCCTAGTTTTGGGGCAAGGTACATGCCTAAAAATCAAGCTAGAGAGGGGGTGGGGTGGATCTGCTCCACGCGCCCACCTGCTTTCCGTTGTAGCCAGGCCTTCCATGAATTGGCACCTACCTTGCCTCACCAGCCCACTTCTTCTGCGGTTCCCTTGTGGCTGTGGCCGACAGCCACACCCAGCTGACCCATTTCTTCTGTGGCTGTGAGAATCTATTCTCAGTTTTTGGCCGCAGGCCTTTCCAGAAGGCCTTTGACAGCGAAATGCATGCTGGAGGGCACCGCACACGCCAATCCATTCTCAGCTGCAGAGGCATTTCCTTCAGCCGCAGAATGGGCCAGCTGGGTGGGGCTGTCAGTGCCACATGTACGAGACCATGGAAAAGACCCTCCCACCCCAAAAATAAGATCTGGTGCCTCTTTTGGAGGCAAAAATAAAAAATAAGACCGGGTCTTATTTTCGGGGAAACACAGTATTATGTAGAGCCTCCTGTAGGCAAGGAGAAATTGAATAGCGATGTGTTCCTCTTTAGGTGCATGGTACATAGAACTCTATGTGATTTTATATTTACATATAATAGTTCAGTATATAGTGCAGAATTCAACAAAAGGGCCCTATTTTGTTTTGTCCTGTACTTCAGTGGTCTCCAGCCTTTCCGGCTTTGTGAACTAGCAAGGGGAGGGGGAGTGGATGGTTCCATGCACACACTCACTTGCCCAGCTCCATTTGTACAAGCTGCGAACACTGGCTTGTGCAACCCAGGGGTTGGGGACTCCTGCTGTATTTAATGAGACATTGGTATAGAGTAGGATGATTTTTCTCATCTTCAATTCAATCAACCTTGAGAAATAGATACCTCTTAACTTTGGGATGATCTCAAAGTTAAGACCCCTGAGACTTGATTCCTTGATTCTTCAGTCTTGGTTGTTTCAGTCTTGGTAAAATGGCAAAGCTTCCAAGATAAAACATTTGTCCTTGTTCTTCGGAAAATCCAGTGCCACAATGCCTTCAAAAGCTGGTATGTTTAATTATGCTTCAGAGCCTATATAAAATAAGTCAACACCCTCTCCCCTGCTTCATGTAATGGAGCATCAATAGAGACCTAATCAGAAGGGTGCTACACATTTGCTGACCTTTCAAGATTGGTCTGCCATTATGTTTCCCTGTTCCTAATTGGAAGATACTCTATTGTTATACTCTTGCCTTCTTGAATATTTGCAATTACTGTCTTGTGTTTAATAGCTTATCAGACCTAAGCGCCGCGCAATGGGGTCAGCTGCTGTTCCTGCCCCAGTTCCTGTCCACCTAGCAGTTTGAAAGCATCAAATGCAAGTAGATTAATAGGTACCACTTAGGTGGGAAAGTAACAGTGTATGTATGGCCATGCTGGCCACATGACACGGAAAATGTATTCAGATAATGCTGGCCCCCTCCACCAAGAAACGGAGATGAGCATCGTCCCCTAGAGTTGAACACGATTGGACAGGGAAATCTTTACCCTTATTGCTATTTTGGCTTATGTTATATTCTTCCTGTTTATTCCCTATTTACTGTCTCATATTATGTGATTATATTATTTTCCTATACAGAGTCATGCCTCTATCTGAGCCTGACTCTGAGGACGACATGGAGTTCCCTGTAGAGGCCCAGGAGGGGGTGTCTGTGGCTTCGGAGGACTGTGGGGAGGAACAGGCTGAAGCAGACCAGGGCCCTTCAAGTTTGGAACAGGGAAGGCAGAGCTCAGGCGAGGAGCAAGGCCCCTCCCCATCAGATCCCAGAGCAAAGAGAGCAGAGAGGAGGAGGGAACAACGGAAGCAGGCTCACTTGCTCGGGAGGAGCGTCACGCCCCACTCCACAAGGCACACCTAGGGAGTAGGTATTTAAGGAGACGTTGTGGGGTGGGGCATTTGCCGGGAACAAACATGATGTGAGCTCTTGTACCTGGACTCTTTGTATTTTGGATCAAGTTTGTTTCCTGCAAGGGTTCTCCTTGCTGTCCTCAGTTTTGCAGTTTGCAGGTTACAGGCAAGCTGGGCGTTGAAAAGATTATACTTTGTTTATTATCTGTTTTACTTTAAAGAACTGTTTAACTCCGTGGACTGTTTTATTGAACTTGTGCCAGCATATGTGGGGGGCTGTTGGGTGAACGTTGGCAGTGCTTACAAAGACAATTATCCTGACCAGCTAATTGCTTTGCCTTCGTTCAGGGCCCTGGGTCATCACATACAGGTAGTCCTTGCTTAACAACGGTATTGGGATTAGCAATTCTGTAGCCAAGCAACACGGTCATAAAAGTGGGATGTCAAGTGATTATGTTGATTTAACAGAGGCAGTTGTAGCAGTTCCCATTGCCATCATTGCAGTGTCCCAAGCTCAGCTTGATCATCATTTTCAACTTCCTGTCAGCTTCCCCACTGACTTTGCTTGTTGGAAGTCAGCAGTGACCATATAATCACTATGGGACATTGCAACTGTTGTAAGCCTGTGCCAACCAACTGAATCACAATCCTATGACCATGGGGGCACTGCAATGGCCACAACTAAAGGAATCCTCAAAAGTCCCCCTCATTCAGCACCATAAGTTCAAACAATTGCTGAACAAGCGGTCGTTCAACAAGGACTGCCTGTATTATCTTGGAATTAAGCCTTAAATAATATTATCGGTGTGGGTATTGCTTCCAAATCAAAAGAATTGTAGAACCTGTGATACAATCCCAGTGGGCACCTCCAAATTTAAATAAGTATTTAGAAATTTAAAGTAACTGTGTAATACACAATACTACCATAGAAAATGTTTTCATATAAAATTTATTTCACATGTTTATAGACATATCCACAGGTAATTTTCAGGCATGATGCAACATTAGATGTTAGTAACAATTAATGTGGAAAATAAATATATACCAGTGATGTGACTCAAGATGATACTTTTACTTATTGATTACATATTTATTTTTTCTGACAAACCACCAGAATAACCAGTTAGTTTTAATGAAAAATTATAGTAGTGTTTCAGTTACTTTTTCGGTTCAATAAGCCCATTACAGAGATAGAGTTTTAAATAAAATTTATCCATCATACCTAAGATTTATTTTTATGGGCCACATATAAATAAAATGGATGGAGGAGACACCACAGCAGCATTTAGTGGATTAATGTCAGGCACCAAATTTGTACCTGAAGCTTCAAAAAAGAGCTTATACCTTTTAAGTTAAAAAAGCTTTATGAAAAATAATCTGTATAAAATGGGTGGTCAAAAAGTTATTTGGATAACCATAAAAAGTGGAATGATAGAAATTGACATTAATAGCTAGAAACCAAAGCTTGGAACCAACTATCATCCTGCACCAAACCAACATATTTTTATACTGAACTACACAGCAGAAGACATATAATACCTGTTTCTTTAAGATATATACTTACAGGTTTGCATAGTTTTTATCTGTTAACATCTGTCAACGCTATGCTATGCTTCAGATTTGATTCCAAGGAAGCACTTCAGGGCACACAAGACCATAAATGCAGCATCCATCTAAAGCTCTACGCTGTTGTGATTTTTCCTAGGATTGTACAGCTATTTTCCGGAGCTGCCGAGTGATCACAGGAAAAGATAAGGCTACTTTCACAGAGCTACAAATAGTGCGATGTTTGGTCCCATGCGCTCTGAACGCCCTACATGGAATTAAATTGCAAAGCCATGCATTGCATAGTTCCAAAATCTTTCTTCTGATGGACCATTGGTATTTCATACACTGTAAATGCTAGCATATGTATATAACACTTAATCAGTACCAATATTTTGATATGATAAGACTGCAGTTACATTTATTACAAGTTTCAAATGGCATTTTGTATGGAACAATTCTTAAATTTTAGGAATGTAGGAAATTACTCAGTAGTCCTTAATCCGTCCATTAAAATACCATAGTTAATTTAGTGAATTTATATTTTGGTTCAAGTGCTATAGCTTCTGTACTATTTAACCTTGTTCCAAATACAGAACAAAGAAAACTCTGTCCCTCCCCCACTCCCAATGAGCACTTGCTATATTTTTTAATTAAGTTAGTCATATAAAACTTCTATAAATATCTGTAAGTATGCATTAGCGCACAAATTACTTAGAAGATACATCTCTAGTACATAATTTAGAAATGTGTAAAGAAGAGGTTCTGAGAATATTCTGATCATTGGAATTTTAAAAGTTATTGGCACATTTGGTGGAAAAAAGTTCATTTTTATTCACTGAACTTGATATGCTATTGCTCATTAATTAAAAATCTTTGGCTTAACCATTAAAGACAAAGATTTATGGTAAAAATAAATATATAAGAATGACTTACAGTATATACAAAAAGTACAACCAATATTCAAGCTTTTAAAAGACAAAACCTATGTATATATCAATGCAGGCTTTCATAACCAGCGTTAATCCAATGGGGAGGAGTTTTGGGGCTAATAGAATGTGGCCTAATTCTTCGGTATCCTAATGCTTTGCCGGCAATTGTGGCTGCCAGCTTCAGAGGTGAAAGTAGTCTGCTCTATTAGCCCTGATGCACATCGTCACTGGAAAAGCTGTATATATTTGGTGTAAGTGACATTCAGCAATGCTGATTTTTAAAACATTACTAAAACATGACCTATTGCACATTAAAATTTGTTTTTTAAACCTGGTGCTCACACACTAGTCTTAGAACACGGAATTAGCAGATTTAGAGACCATAAATTTACCCGAAAAACACATGTCCATATCACTGTGTGTAATGGCGGGACTGATAAACTCTTTTCTGCACACTGTATTAGTACAATAATCAAAGTAAACAGTGCCTTTAAAACAGATGCAGAATGTCAAGGTCTCCCTACTCAGAAACATAAAATACTCTTTCTAAACAAGAAGGCTTTTAGGAGAACATGATTATAAGATAACTTGAGTTTTCCTTTAGAAATTCAGCCATACATCATTGCATCAATTCGTCAATATAAAGAATTGGATCCAGATGAAATTAGTTGCAGTTAGGTCCCATGGTTTCAAACAGGATCAAAATGCAACTAAGTCTAGATCATTCACTATTTCATAGATATCTACTGCAAAAAAAAAACCCCGCCAAAGTTATAAATATTAGCAAATATTTACTTCCCTTAATATGCACTTTTTCCAGCAATTTACCTCTTAAAAGCAAAAAAAATCCAAACATTGCAGTTCCTAAAACTGAACAGAGTTACATACTACAAGCTAATCTTCCTGAGGTTAGAACCAGTTCTTAATGTCACGGTTTTATCCTATTAATGTAAATTATTAACTTCTGTTCATATGTCCATATCTCTCACTTCTGAATAATCAATCAGCCATGAAAGTAGTGGGATTAAAGTAAACATATTCTGGGCTGGGAGATAGGAGAAAATCTTAATGTCATGATGGGCAGGCAAGTCTGAAACCTCCATTTTTATTTTAAGCATTCAGTGACAAAAGAAATATCCACAAAGTGAGAAAGAATTATGGTTTACATTATTCTGTATCTCACTTGGAGTTCCATATAATTTTCCTGACAAAATACTAGTATTCTCTTCTGATACTTAAATAGTGAAGACAAATATACTGAACCATTCGTCATTAGGAAAATTATCTTGCTATCTTACATCTGGTGAGAGAAGTTCCAGCAATGCAAGAAAGTGGGATCAAAGAAACAATTTTAAGACTTGACCTAACACATAATTCAGACTTTGGAAATAAAATGTAATTGTGCAGTTCAGTCAAATTTTGCCAAGAGTATTCTAACAAACCACACAACTCAGGCTACTTTGCTTCTCTTCTCCTTTAGACCGTGGCCAGATGTCCTTGCCCACACAGCCAGTTTCATTAATTTTTTTCGTGGCCCAAGGGGAGTCTCTCAAGACCAAGGTGGAAGGAAAAAAATCCGTTACCTGGGAAAAATTAATATAGCTCAATTTCACCAAAAGGAGAGTATCCCTTTCTGGGCTGATAATTTGGATTTTAACTGCATTTTTTTTTCCAAAAGACTAGAGATTAGTTAATGCAAGAAGTGGGTTTAGGGAGTCTTAAAATTTAGATCTGTAACCCCAAACAACTTTGATATGAAAATAATTATTATAAAACAAACAGGTCCTCCACTTGCATCCATCATGTTGCTCAAAGACATTTAAAATCCATCCAATCTGGGATTTTAGCTGGAATCCCTAGGAATAACTTTCATTTCCATTCCATTTTGTGATCCACTGTTTTTTTGCATGGTTCTCTTTAGCTTTTCCATCTTTAATCTGCCTTTCTTCCTTCCGAATTCTTACAGCATGGTAGCGGGGGATGCTGTCATCGTACCTGGAACGCTGGAAGAACCCGCACTATAGGGAGAGAAAATGTCACAATGCTCAATGTTATTAAACAAGTATGGTCTTACCCAACCTGGAGCCCCCCAGATATGTTGCACTACAATCCCCTTATCTCTGTCTTCAAAAAATATATTGTCACAGAGCGTACCTTTAAAGCAGTGGTTCTCAACCTGTGGGTCGGGACCCCATTTGGGGTCGAACGACCATTTCATGGGGGTCGCCAAACAACACAGTTTGCCTTTCCCCCCCCCCTTTTCCTTAGCTGTGCTACTCCCTTTTATTCTATTGGCTTTTGAAAGCCAATAGAATAGACTCTCTTGAATAGAGTCTAATTCTATTGGCTTTCAAAAGCCAATAGGAATTGTCCAGGCTGTCTCTGCCCTGCTGAGCCTGCCAAAAGTCCCATTCTGCAAACGGTGCTGCACCAGTTGAGTAGTCCTCGACTTACGACCGGTTGAGTAGTCCTCAACTTACGACCGGTTGGGGGTCGCGGCATTAAAAAGGTTGAGAACCACTGCTTTAAAGAGAGGGATAAATACAACACCAGATGTCCTAGCCGCCCTGAGTCCCTAGGGATTGGGCGGCATATAAATTTTATTAATTAATTGATAGATAGATAGATAGATAGATAGAGATAGATAGATAGATAGATAGATAGATAGATAGATAGATAGATAGATAGATAGATAGATAGATAGATAGATAGATAGATAGATAGATAGAGAAAACGTCTCACCCAAGATTGCAATCTTAGCTTGCCAGGAAAACTCTCAATCTCAAATTTATTTTACAAAAGTAAATTCTCTTTGTAGTCAACCTAGTAATATTTTTGGGAAATCCGGTATTAAAATTGAAGGGCAGCCCAAATATATCGAACCTTGCTTAGACCATAGTATAGAACCATACATAATTTACCTGGCTCAGTAAAAATATAAAAATTGATCATTCACTTTCTGATTTATATCCAATAACCCATGCCTTTGGAATCTATTCTTATGAATGTATGGTTTATGGAGACAAGAGGTCAAAATTATGTAGGCCTGGCATCAGAATGCACCATAGCCAAATACCAAAATCTAAACCCCAGACAACCTGCCAGCTCAAAGTTAATTTTAAGGTAGGTACACATAAAAGTATCATTCAGGTAGCTCCCATCTCCTCGTATCCCAAAACATTATTTTAAGGGGCAGAGACACTGGAGAAAAATGGGGAGAATAACAGAGCCATCCAATTTGTGCTGCTCGTAGTGTTGTTCTTGGCATGGACGAACATAAATATCAACCCATCTCTAGACCTAGGCTTTCTTTTTCCCCTTTTCATGCAAAGAATTTGGGCTGAAAGAAATGCTGTTCAGGAATGTTGCAGTATTTTCTTCGCAGCAAGTTACACCATTGCCTCCCTGTTACCTTGTAAATTTCCACGGACATGGGGATGGTTACGGAGCTTTGTTTGGGATATTACAGTTGCCTGAGGAACCCATGAATGCTTGGATAGGGAAGAGGATACTGCCATGGGACTTGGTTCTGAGAGGAAAAGAGGCAACATTGCCTTGATACAGCAGAGGGAACCTTAGGCAGGTCTCCACTTATCTAGCAGAGCACCTGTGTTTACTCACATATTTTCCAATATTTGTAATCAGCAATTCCAGTTTCCATCCTCTCTGATTCTTCCATACTTTATTATTATTAAAATTACAATGAATCAGGTTACCTTCTACTAACAAGGTCCACAGGCTCTTTCACCCTATGTACAAGAAATATCAGCCAGCAAGGCTAGTAGCTCTTCAGAGGACAGGTCGTATAGTAAACGCCTCTTCTCTTTGTTTTACAAATGGCCTGGATCCATAACTACTCAAAAGGTTTTTTGTCACGTTTATTATTTAAAATTCACAATGTTTCTCCTGCCCTTCAGCCCATTTGGTCAACATACAATCTGTATTTCTAACCCATACTTGGCACATTACTGTATAACTGTTGTAGCAAAGACTTGGTCAGAGAAATAAATTTTGATCAGTCTGAGAAGTCTTCCTAATTGGAACATTTCGGCTTCTTTAGACATAAAGCAGCAAAATTAAACTGGTCATTTTGGCAATCCGACGTGCAATGGACATTTACATCTATGCGTTCAAGGTAGACATAACATTAGCCAGCATGCAATAGGCAGGCTTTAGAGAAAGAAATGCAGATCCAAGTACAAATAAAATAAAATGGAAATTTCTGTAGTAAACTATCGTAAAAACTGAGAAACAAGAACTGCCATATATTGGAAAGAGCAACCACAGCAGTAAAGACTTTTGGCATGCACTTGTGTTAATAAAGCTATTACCTACTCAGTAAAAAAGTAAAAATACGTCTTGCTTTTCAAAACACGGTCCATATCTTACTGAAGCATCACTGATTCACAATTATGGACAACAATTGTTAAATCTTTAAATACAGATGCTTAAATCTGGAGGTAGACATAGTTATAACCGTCCTATATATATAATATCTGAGAAAAGCTCCATTAAAAATTAGGATTTTATTAACTATTGGATTGGATTGTGGTCCCTTCACCAGTCAACACAGAAAATGTTAATAAATAGTTTAATGGTAATATGTATTTTTCTTTCCTAATATTTATTATTATTATTGTTTATTATACAGTATCTATATGGCCTCCTTTTCATATGCATTCATCTAAACGTTGAAGAGACTGCCCAGATAGGTTTGAATTCATTACATGGAATCCACTTATAGAGTTATGATTTAAAGCAGTGGTTCTCAGCCTGTGGGTCGGGACCCCATTTGGGGTCGAACAACCATTTTATGGGGGTCGCCAAACAATGCAATCCGCCATTTTTTTTCCCTTTTCCTTAGCTGTGCTACTCCCTTTTATTCTATTGGCTTTTGAAAGCCAATAGAATAGACTTTCTTGAATAGAGTCTAATTCTATTGGCTTTCAAAAGCCAATAGGAATTGTCCAGGCTGTCTCTGCCCTGCTGAGCCCGCCAAAAGTCCCATTCTGCAACCGGTGCTGCACCAGTTGAGTAGTCCTCGACTTACGACCGGTTGAGTAGTCCTCGACTTACGATCGGTTGGGGGTCGTGGCATTAAAAAGGTTGAGAACCACTGATTTAAAGTTATAACCTCAACCTTCACATTCAGATACTTGTGTGCTGATTTGTCTTTTAAGAGGTAAGTGTTAGACTCAAAGATTATTTCAACCCTAAGTATCTACATGCTGTTAGACAGATGGACTGGGTGTCTGGTTGTTTGCTAGGAAATGACAATTTAGCCCAGCACTTTCATTCTGGGAAAGTGCTTTCCTCATACCATTGAAAGTCTGCTAAAGATGTCCCCAACCCCCGGGCCATGGACCAATACCATTCCATGGCCTATTAGCAACCAGGCCGCACTCTACTGTAAACTGTGAGGGATCTAGGTTGCACAATCCCCCCCTCTCAGTCTGTGGAAAAATTGTATTCCATGAAACCAATCTCTGGTGCCAAAAAGGGTTGGGGACTGCTGTATTAGAGAGTCCCAATATACTATAAGGGATTTAGGGCCTTCCTCTAAGAAGGACCAATAGTTTACTCGAGTCACAGACCAGCCTTCAGAGATTTGCTTGGACATTAGCTGCTGACAAGTTGTTTTTCTGGAAAAGCTTGTCTGAGTTTCCCAACTTCTTGAGGAACTGAGCCAACATTCTTTGAAAGCCACCAGTTTGGCTTAATACAGGACTTTCCTCCTTATTTCATAGAAAAAAATCAGAAGAGGGTCCCAGAGATGTGTTTAGTCTCCTGGACCGTGAGCCAGCATATTTAGGACTGGGATGCCAACCCTCAGTAGAAAGTCTCCAGAGTGGAAGGAGAAATGCGTAAGTAAGCAGCAGTTAAAAAACAACTGACAGAAGGATTGGCATGTTCGTGCACCGAGAAAGATTATTCTAAGGAATGTAAGCAAGCATTAAAAAGAATTGATATTTTGAAACGAGGCAACCAGCAGAACAAATGCAGCAAGCTTTGAGTCATTAGCCACCGCAACCAACCTGCAGCTAATAAATTCAAAAAGCAATTACCAATTACAGAAGTGGATCAATACTATGCATCAGAAGTAAGCCTCTCTTTATCAGATGGCTGAGCATGGATCTCAGCCTTGTGATATGTGGCATCAAAATGATCTTTCTTATCTCTCTTGAAGAAACCACACTATAAGGAAGCAAGGCACTTGGTTAATATTAGGGATTAATGTGCAAAAAGAAAAGAAAAAAAAAAGGAAAAAGATTGAAATAACTCGACTATTCGGTACCCGAATGTTAAAAATCTGTCTTGTAAAATAACTACAATAGGCTTCTGGTTATAATTTTCCCCTTACAGATCACTTCTTTGTTCCACGCTCTAATGCAGTGGTTCTCAACCTTTTTATACGGCGACCCCGGTCATAAGGACACGGCGCGCATGCGCGGCGGCGCCCCCATGCACATACGCAGTGCCGCCAGCTGAGAAAAAAAATGGCGGATCGCGTTGTTTGGCGACCCCCCCATGAAATGGTCGTTCGACCCCAAATGGGGTCGCGACCCACAGGTTGAGAACCGCTGCTCTAATGTTTCAGTTATGAACCCTGAGCTGTCAACAGATGGGCAAGCCTTTTTAATCATTATTTTGAGGATGTGAAATAAATATATAATGCTTGTCAGAGCAATCAGGACATGTTTGCTCCCTATAGAGGCAACAGCTATTTTTCTGCAAAAAAAACAGATCTTGAACTTACAGACAAGCATTATGTGAAACATGAATAAATGTAGCGTTGATTCGATGTTCAAAATTACTTGATAAAAAGCTTTTTGACTGTGCCCATGCATAAAAGATGCCCAAAGAACTTAGTATCCTATTTCTTCAATGAATTTTAAAACTCAAATCCTGATTAATTTGAACAGCATTAGCACAGCAATCCTATTCATTTCCAGACAAAATGAAATTCAACTGAGTTTATTGGGAATTCAAGCAAATGTATATAGAATTGAAGAATAAGATGAAGCAAGGTGTGGAAGTACAGAAAGGACAAGAATATGCCCTTTCCCTACATCATGACGTGCATCAGCATACATGCTGGGTAGTGGTGGAAAAAGAAATATGGAGTTATCTGAGATAATATGGAGTTGTCCCCCTATAGTTGTGGGACATTTGTTTTCACATGGAAAAAATATTAGAAACATTATATCTAAAGTTAACATATATAAAATGGAATCCATTGCCTGGGTATGGTCTCAACAGCAATAATTTCTAAAAGAAATTCAAATTTTCAAATTTTCAGAAATTCACATTTGAGCCTTTATAAATATACAAATATGCTAATCTAGCTAAACTCTTCCTTTTTTGAAAAAAAAAAACCCAAAAGTTCTCTGCACATTTCAAATAATGTGTGATTAAATATGAACAAGCATGCTGATAAAATAGCTCACCTTCCACAATAAGAACACCAGCAAAGCAAGCATTAATAACCCAGCAAGAATAGCAACCAAGATGATCCACCAAGGAACTCCTTTATATAAAGCTACTGTTTTTGCAGGAAAGATAGTAACTCGTACCTACAAAAGAAGCAGAAAAAAGATGTCATTACACAGAGAAAAGTTAGTCAATGTGCTACAATGTTAATTCTACATCTATACTGAAGCACTCCATTTTTTTGTCTACTCTGTTATTTTTATACATGTTGGATTCTTCATTCCATTTTATCTAGGAAGTTGGGCTCTTGACCCTGCTAAGAATTATAATTGTATATATCAAGTAGAGCAGGGGTGTCAAACTCAATTTCATTGAGGGTCGCATCAGCATTGCAGTTGTCCTCGGGGGGGGGGGAGGAGGTAGGTGTGGCCAGGGTGGGCACAGCCTACTGGTGGGCGTGGCTGGAATGGGTGTGGCCTACTGGGTGGGCATGGCCAGTTCTTCATCGTTCACGTCAAGGGTGCCTGTGGGGGCCTGGTCAGGAATGGGACAGATCTGGGGTTCTCTGGCAGAATGAGGTGGGACCGGGGCAAGCGCCAAGGCATGGTGCATTTCTTCATTCCTCCCAAAGGGTGACACCTCCCCAGCATGCACCCAGGGGATGGGGCCGACACGGCAGGGGCTGGTTCCTTGCTGTTTCCAGACCACCTTGTGGAGCTAAGACTGAATGCGTTTCAGCATAGATGGCCACCACAAAATTGTACATTGGCTCCCGGCCGGCCTGGGCCAGGGCCAAGGCAGCGGGGGCCGTTCCCTCACTGTTTCCAGGATGGCTTCGCAGGCCACATGAAACCAATTCACGGGCCACATCCGGCCCCTTGGCCTTGTGTTTGACATGTCTGAAGTAGAGGAAGGCTCCCCTTGAATTACAAAGTATTTCAGTGCAAAACTATTTTCAAATTATTTATCAATAACATCATAAACTAGAAGAACTATCCTTTTTCCCCAGACGTGCTTTTTTGAAATCTGCACATTCTTATTAGAATCCATATGTGCTCAGCTTTGAAAGGTATTAAACACTGTCAGAGCAGAGGAAAACATGAAGAGGTAACAATTTCAGGACTTCCAGAGAAGGTATGGTGATCTGAGGATGGGTCTATGAAAGTTGAGCCAACGATCACAGCAGAGATTTTGAGATTGCTCACTACATTTTTACTAATTCACAACAACAATGCACAATCATTTGCCTCCCCTAAACAGTACAAGAGAGATTCTTTGGGAACTAGCTCTGGAAATAATGAATTTCTAAATGCTATTTGAGGAAAAGGAATAATTAACACTGAGAAATTATTGACCGAGGGAGGGAGGGAGGGAAGAAGGAATTACAGTCAATGATTCACTCTTATGACAGCCATAAGTAGAGAAATATTGCAGACTCACATTCGTAGCTTCATTTGCCAGCTTGACGTTATCCGCAGCAGAAATGCCAATTCTAGCTCTAACAGGAATGTCTAGATAGTTCATTTTATAGAATTCCTATAGAGTAGTAAAAGAATCTTTCTTTAGAACAAATACAAGAACTCAGTTCAAATGTGTATAAGGTACGTTTATGGAACCTACCTCTAGGAAAGTGCTGTTCCACAACCTTGAGCGTAGTACTACTATGGCTTTACTGTCTAAGCCTTTCAAGGAACATGTTACGTTGACGCAGTTTGCCTCTTCGTTGCATTCCTGCAAGTAATACACAGAAAGCTTTCAAACAAACCTTAACTCAAAAGCAGATATACAGCATTTTTTTTTTGCAAGGTTCCTGTAGTCCTATGACACAGCAAGATTTTTTTTCCCAAAATAAATGGAAAAACATTTACAGAGTAATCCTAAGAGAGAGGGAGGAGAGCATCTGTCTGAGGAAAAGAGAGAAGCTTTTTATCTTATTTTCCTTGTTGAGTTTCTTATGGTCCACATGGCATGGACTCCACTGAATGCGAAATTCACTTCGGCTGTTCGTGGATGGCATAGTTTTGCTGTTGCTCGGGAATGTGAGGAACAGAAATACTGGATCCAAGCTGTTTCCATTCTGTTGTTGCACATCCCATTTTGCCCAGCCTTGAAGACCACTGGCATCAAAGAGGCAAGAATAGCAGGAAATTCCATGCTCACAATAAGGAGGCATAGGAAAATCACTCAGTTTCTTGGAATCACTCGGTTTCATTAGAACTAAGGGACTGCAGCCTTGGAGGTCGCTAGTTTATTTTAGTGCTACTGTTCTGATCACCTGGTTGGATAAAGTCCTACTTTCATTAATTTCACTAAAGAATAAAGTCACTAAATGTGTATATAGGTGTACATGAAGGAGGCTGGGGAGTGGTATTTTCATAAAACATATTTCTACTATCTTTCAGCCTTTTTAAAAAAAATGGCTTACCGTATTTTCCGGCGTATAAGACGACTGGGCGTATAAGACGACCCCCAACTTTTCCAGTTAAAATGTAGATTTTGGGCTATACTCGCCATATAAGACTATCCCTCTTCCAACGCACACCAAATAAAAATTACCCAGTATACAACAACCAGCCAATCACGGCAAGCGATGTACCTTACCGGTGATTGGCTGGTTGTTGTATACAAAGCCTGCTTGGATTGGGTGGGTCAGGTCTCCCTGCCTGCCCAGACCTCCCTGTCTCCAAGACGATCCGAGCAGTAGCGCAATGTGATAGAGATCAGGGAGAGAAGGCTGCTTCAAGGGAGTCTGTCACCTGATCTGAGCGTTTTAGACCGCTCAGATCAGGTTATAGACTGCTTTGGCCACATTCCAAAAGTACCGTACCTTTATTAGTGCTATCCCTCAGCGAGATCTTCCAAAAAAGACTTATGATGAGGTCTGGCAAGTTCCCAGGGGCAGCTTTAGTGCAGCAAGAGCAGCACTGTGCCCAGAAAAACACGCCTCTTTCACCCGTCTGGCCCGCCCTTGCAGCACTAACGCACCGCAGATTCTCCCGTCCGGCTTGGTAAGTTTCAGCACCTGCCCTATAAGATGACACCCGGCGTATAAGACGACCCCTGACTTTTGAGAAGATTTTTATGGTTTAGAAAGTCGTCTTATACGCCGGAAAATACGGTATTTATTTTTGTCTCTTTGAATCAGTCTTGACTCCTGGCAACTGTCAGGATAGGTCCCTGCAGTTTTCTTAGCAAGATTTTTGGGAGTGGTTTGCCCTTGATGCCTTCTTAGAGCTTAGCAAAAGTGACTGGCCCAATCACCCAGTTGACTTCACACCTAAGGCAAGACTAGAACTCACAGTTCCTGGCTTCTAGCCCAGTGACTTTAACCATTACATCAAACTCACTCTCTCCAAATGGCTATAGGTAGTCTTTACATGCTTTCTTATATTTCAAGTTGTCACTGACTAGAATTTAGTTTTCAATCAATCCTTAATCTGACACTGTATGGACTAATCTGAGAAAAATTATGCCACCATGAAATTATGCACCTTTAAGATGCCTGCAAACTCTTTTGGGTGTTTGGAAATTTTAAATATAGACGTTTGAAATGTGCTAAGTGTAGTTTAATAGGTGTACTTGACAATAGACTGCATTTAGTAGAGTTTGAAATCTGAAAGAAACAAAGCAAGTGTGGAGTTTCTGTTATTTTGGACACATGCCTTATTTCTGGTTCCCAAAATAAATATTGAGAGGGAAGTTGACAAGGCAATTTGTCACTGGTTAAATAAGTACTTACCAATGTCTTATACTTTCTTTCTGCAAACAAAGAAAAGCTTTTGCTACCCTCTATCTGCTTCTCTGCAACTTCACGTTTTATCCGTGAATTTTGAGACCGCTAGAAATATGAACAGACATACAAAAATAGTTAACATAAAGCATGCTGCAAATAATTAAAAAATAAACAAAAACAACCCTTTAAGGCAGATTTCACTATTGAATTCTGTAGCCAAGTCCACAAGCATTTATTAAGTTTCCATTCCAATATATTTTTCAAAAGTCTTTATAGGTTTTATTGGGAATGGGAAGGCAGGGTAAGCAACCAAAAAAAAGTATCATGCTATTGTGACAAAAGCTATACCATTTCATTCATGGAACACATGCTTTCAGGTAGCCCAATCCCCCTGGGTTATGAAGAGCCTAGCAAACTCTGCCTTAGGCCCACTGGGACCAAAGAGGAAATAACTACACTGGTAGCATATAAATATGTTGATGCCGGTTTACTTGCCACAAGTAGGAAGATGGAATCTGTTGGAATAGAGGCTGCTTAATGGAATGCATACAGAATTTATAAAGCAAGGAGTATGAAAATTCCACAAGTTATTTATGCACAAGTACGGTCTTCCTCAAGAGAAAGGAAGGAAAACTTTTCTACCGATATTCTCCATTTCTCATTCACACAGACACTGTATGCTATTCTTTCCTGCATTCCAGAAATTTATTTATTTTTATTTGTATCCTACCTTTATTTTACAAATAACTCAAGGTGGCGAATATATTCAACATACATCCTCCTCTTTTCACCTTAATAACAAACCTGTGAGGTGGGTTGGGCTGAGAGAGGGCCTGACCCAAGGTCACCCAGCTGGCTTTCTTGGCTAAGGCGGGACTAGAACTCATCATCTCCAGCTTTCTAAATCTAATGCCTTAACCATTAGACCAGGGGTAGGCAATCTTGGCTCTTTTATGACTTGTGGACTTCAACTCCCAGAATTCCTGAGCCAGTCATAAAAGAGCCAAGGTTGCCTACCCCTGCACTAGACCAAACTAGCTCATTCTTGCCATTGAGATACAAAGGCAAGACTATGTGTGAAATTTCAAGTTTATTTGGTCACCAAAAGAAGAAAATAATATTTTTTCATACATTCCAATTATGTGAAATATCAGCAGGATATTGCCAAAATAGCAGGCCAAGGAAACAGGCAAAGATCCTCAGATGTTTCATTCTTTGTTCAAGAAGCCGAGCCAACTCAATCACCAATCCCTTATAAATGCCACAGAAGAGCCATTTTAATTGAAAAATATGCAGTCGCACTCATTTACCTGAACGTTCAAAAGGTTTATTTCACTTTCAGGAGTACACTGTAATTCTCCTAATTCCTTTGAATGAATGGAAACCAAATACAGCAACCACTTCCCTCCTTTCAGTTCTTTTGGCCACATAATTTCCAAGAAAGCTGTACCAAATGTTTTCAGTGGTTTACCTAAGTTTGTGATCTGTCAGGAATAAAATACATACATTTGCTCATATTAATTAGCAGATACGTTCTGGAAAAAAAACTATCGTGTAAAATAAATGCAAATATTCCAATTTACTACGAATCTGTTTCCCTTTTGCTTATTATGGCAATATAACCTTCTTCATATAATCTTTTTCCAAATGTCTAGGTCAGGCTGAAGAAGGTTGTTCAACTTCCAACATAATCATATATACCGTATATTCCGGCGTATAAGGCTACCCGGCGAATAAGACAACCCCCGACTTCGGCACCGAGTTGCATGCCTAGAAAGTCATCTTATACGCCGGAAACTACCGTTATTTCTGGCGTATAAGACGACCCCTGATTTCGGCACCGATCTTAACGCTTGCGAAAGTCGTCTTATACGCCGGACAGTACGGTAGTATGAGTTGTGATTATGTGAGCCATTTTATTTATTTTGCTTGCATCTTTGATTTTGAGAAAAATCTAATAGAATTAAAATCCCTTGAATGTATGGTTTTAAAAACCATTATGTTTCATATAAGCAGCTTGAGGGCAGGTGAGTCCTAGGGACTAGGAACATCTGAAATTAGTATTTCTAGTGATTCTTATGGCTGATAAACATCGTTAGCTCGGAAGTGCTCCTTCTGTTCATGGAACAGGACTCTATACACCAAAGATTCTGCTGATTGAAGGAACTTCCTATAGCTCTTTATGTCACTCCCCACTCCATCTTCTTAAGTCCAACAATTGTCTGGATCAGGTTTATTGCAAGGTGCCATGGACCAAAAGGAAAAATAAAATGTCTTTCCTGTCTCATTACCAGTGTGAGAATCCTGTGGCCATCGTTCCTCTCACAGGAATTTAAAATCTAAGTCACTCCATTCCCACAATATTTACTATGGAATGGGCTGTCATCTCACTCAAGATTCTTTCTTTGCTTCTCTCTTTTTTCTCTTTAACACCATGTGTATTCTACCAAATTAAATATTGGATGCAGTGTTGATACACTCCCTAAAGATGGAAATTTGCTTTCAGATACAAATATTTAGGGTAAATGCAATTAATTAGAAAACCTAAGAACATATCAAGAACCACCCACCTATCAAGAGATGATTATTAATTAAAAATAAACATAGCATTTTTAATGCTAGCAGGTATTATTTTTTTAATCACTATACAGTTTGAGACTTTCCCTCCTCCCTACCACTTCAAATACTTCTCAGGAATATGCATTTACTGGTAAATCTAAAAGATGTGAAATAGTTTGAATATAAAATGCAACGGTTCTGAGTACCTTATTTTATCTCTGTTTTTAAGCACCCAGCTTTACTGGTTGAACCTCTGTGCTTTGCTCATTATCAGAAAAGCGAAGGCCAAATTCTCCTTAGTGATGGGTCTTTGAAAAAATGCCATTGAGATACAAAGGCAAGACTACATGTGAACTTTCAAGTTTATTTGATCACCAAAAAAGGAAATAACCTTTTTTTCATGCATGCCAACTTACCCTGAATTCATATTCAATTAAACTACCAATATTATCTTCAGATTTCATTGCACTTTCCCCAACGATATTACCTCCAAAATACACTTGGGAAGGCTTAGCAACCCTGTTGTAAAAAAAAAAAAAGCAAATATATGAAAATGACTTTTAAAAGGGACCATTTCTGCCACTGATTTGTAAAGGTCACCTACCCTGTAAGTGATAAAAGCAGCTCAATAACAACTTTAGCTTTCGCGGTAATTGGTTCCAAATTAGTCTGATTGCTTGTCCTGCAACAAAAAGGAAACAAAAGGATGCTTTCAAGGAATAGTTAATTATGTTCATGTTATAATGCATGGCCATATCAAAGTATTAGAAACAAAGTAGGAAACATGATGAATACAGTTTTTTTAAAAAAAAGGTCTTACGTTTCCAGTTTCAAATTGATATCCAGCTCTTTCGTATCAACGTTAACCTTGGTTGTACTTAAAATCACATAAAATGTAACCTAAAAAAAAAGGAATAAAAAGAGTGATTGTACTTTATTGCAGGCATAAATCTTATATATGCCATAACTGGGATTGATTAAAATCAGAGAGACATAACTGATGTACTGGCAGCAGTGTCTTCTCTGATACTGAAATTTACTAAAGCCAATGTTTTAGTGAGAAGTTTTACAGCAAGCATTATATAATTTCTAGCTTTTTACATTACGTACATTCCCCTGATCCTCACTTTTTGCTGAAGGATGCGCCTTCCCTTTTAATATTATTGTTACGACTTCTGCCATGCACAAGAAATAAGGAATAGCTGCTTTGCTTAATTTATGATACGTTTTATCACACAGATAAATATGGTTCTACTTTAATTAATTAATGTACCACCTACTTTAAGAGCCGTGGTGGCGCAGTGGTTAGAAGGCAGTACTGCAGGCTACTTCTGCTGACTGCCGGCTGCCAGCAGTTTGGCAGTTCGATTCTCACCGGCTCAAGATTGACTCAGCCCTCCACCCTTCCAAAGTCGGTAAAATGAGGACCCAGATGGTTGAGGGGGCAATATGTTGACTCTGTAAACCACTTGGAGAGGGCTGTAAAGTACTATGAAGTGGTATATAAGTCTAAGTGCTATTGCTATTTTAAACTCAAGCCATTTTTTTCATGAGGTGATATTACGCAGGTAATTCTTGAGTTACAGCCATTCGTTTAATGAGCATTCAGTTACAGTGGCATTGAAAAAACTGAATTATGACCAGTTCTCACATTTACAACCATCGCAGCATCCCATAGTCATGTCAATCAAACTTCAGGTGCTTGGCCACCAACCTGTATTTACGATGGCTGCAGCCATCCAGGGTTCTGGGAATGTCATCTGCAACCAGGGAGCTTCTGATAAGTAAAGTCAATGAGGGAAGCAAGATCTGCTTAACAACCACATGATTCACTTAACAACTATAAGTTATTCACGTGGCAAAAAGGTGGCAAAACGAGGCGTGACTCACTTAACAACTGCTTAGCTTAGTAATGGAAAGTCTGTCTTAATTATGGCCGTAAGTCAAGGACTACCTGTATTTCAGCAATCAGAGATTTAGGGCAGTCTAATATTCAGTCATCCCATTCTCTGAGGTAAAAGAAGCCATACTTACAGTAGAATTTCTTTTGAAAGGATTTCCAAGTTCACACTCCACCTGAGAACCATTTGGATTAGCACCACAGGAGAGGAGTTTTTCCTGAATTAATAATAATAATAATAATAATAATAATAATAATAATAATAATAATAATAAAAGCCACAGGTCCATCAAGCCAAAATTAAGTGAAACAAACAGTATCTTTGAACCTCCCCATCATTTGGTGGAATTATTTACCGGAAAGCTCTTCCACTCCCTGAAAGCAGAATAAGTCAAACTGTCTGGAAAGGTTGCTACAAATCTCGCTTCATGAGCATCTTCGCCGTCTTTCAGAGGGTCCATGGCACTAGAAGGACTGTTCGTCACTGTGATTTCAAGGGCGATATCTTTCTGGTCTTTGAGAACAAGCACTGGAACATTGTTTTCCCTGGAGAAATAGAACCCGAATCAGGTCACTGGGAACTGGAGGGTAAAAATGTTTGTGCCACATTCTTGCAAATTCCTTCTGTAGACTTACTTACATGGGGAAATAGGCAAATCTGTCCTCGTTTCCTTCTTTGATGCAAAATCTGTATTGCATCTTCAAATTGCTGTGGCATATGTTGTCTGATCCACAGCCTTCTTTCAGAAACTGCACCTAAGAAAGAATACAAGTTCAACGGTTTGATTTCAAATGCCACTGTAACAACAGCAACAACAAAAACGGGGAGGAGGTTGTAGTAATCTGCTTCATTTTATATACGTCACATACTAATATGAGCAGCAATCAGCTGTCTCATTATTTGCAACCATAAATAAGAAAACATCACATGCAACCAGAAATAGGACAGTAGGTCAGACACAATATTAAATCTATCACTCCCATCACATTGTGTTGCATTCACAGAAAGCTACCTTCAGTTCTTCCTATCCTATTTTTTTTTCTTTTCTACAAACAAGTGCCTTTGCTATTCTACCAGGACGGGATAAGACCCTCTTCCCTATTAGTATTTTATTTCATTAATGTTTACATCCAGGAACAAGACAGGTGAATCAATGGTGGCAGTTTGTCATGAACATTATTTTCTAGACCTGGGTCTCCAAACTTGGCAATTTTAAGACTAGCATGGCTGGCTGAGGAATTCTGGGAGTTGAAATCCACAAATCTTAAACTTTCCAAGTTTGGAGACCTCTAATCTAGCCCCATCAACAATTCTCAGTAGTAAGAAGTCAACATTCAGTAGTAAGAAGTCAACATTGCCTTGTATCAGCAATTCAAGGTCTGTTTCACAACTCTTAGCAGAGTACAACAGTACAAAATTATGGGAATGAGGCTACAGAGGCATCAGTCAGTGAGAAGAGGAACATAATTTAATGTGCCATTCTGTCATCTCCAACAAGGGAAGGAGGGTCTACCTTTCATTCCCAATGCTTGCAACCTTCTTTTCTTGACAAAATAATATACTGGCAATGACTGAAGTGGCAAGTGTTGTTGAGATAGTATTTCCTTTTTTAATAAGCATGATACTGTATAGCATAATAAGACTCTTATAGATGTCTAGCATGAAGATTCATAAATAACTTACCTCTGAGTGCACAGTTTTGGGCTCATTGGCATCGAGAATTGGGGTAAGATCTGGCAGTGACCTTCCCTGTCTTCTTCTGGATTTTACAGAGGTCTCAGGACTATGAATTGCAACGCTAAGAGATACACGGATTGGATGCAATTTATCTTTGATTTTTTCCTAAGAAATAAGAGAGGAAGTTCTGATTAATATATGCAAGTCACTCCAACTAGGTTGATTTGAAACCTACTAATACATGCTACCACAAAACTGGAATACAATGCTATTCATTCATTCATTCATTCATTCATTCATTCATTCATTCATTCAACATACAAACAAGCAAGCAATTTACAGACCACACAACTTCCAATGGTTCTGAGTGTCCTTCAATTAAAAAGTTTTAAAAATAAAAATACAAAAGATGGATGGCCCAATAAATACAAAATAAACACATAAAAATAAAAAGATGAATGGCATATAACCCAAATACTTGTCCAGTTTGAGTTCCATCTCCACTTTATCCCAAAGCTTGGGAGAATCACCAGATTCTTTAAAAAAAATCCTGTATATCATTAGGGTGGGCGCCATCTAGATCAATTAGATATTTCCAATGCTAGCAATGCAAGTGATATTTTAAAGAAGTAGGCTGCTTGTCTAAAGTAAAGACATCCCCACCCCAATTTTAAAGAGCTGGTACACGCTGCGTAAGATATAATGAATTGCCCGTCTCCTAAAATTATATAATGGCTTACATGACAACTAAAAGTTAAACATAGAAACCAACATTGTTTTATTTAGCTTCCTCTCCCTCCCCATCCTAACTGCAAATGTGAACCATACCCTCCAGAACTTTTCTACTACCCCATGTAGTGGCAGCCTCTTCCAGGAGGTGATACTTATGTATAAGAGGACCATTATATGTAGGACTATTGCTACTAAATAGTACAGCAGAGAATACGACATGTGTAGAGTTTGATGGCAAATGCAACAAAGTAATTCAAGGCTGGAACATTCTGATCCTGAAATATCTCATCCATCTTCGCCAGAATGGCTTCATTTCATTCAGAAAAGCCCAATTTGAGGGACAACCACTTTTCGTAGTATAGGTACAGCCCTTGACCTACGATCACAATTAACCTCAAAATTTATGTTGTTGAGTAAGACATTTGTTAAGAGATTTTAGGACTTTTCTTGCCACAGTTGTTAAGTGAAACATTGTAGTTGTTAAGTTAGTAACATGGTTGTTAAGTGAAACTGGCTTCCCCATTGACTTTGCTTGTCAGAAAGTTGCAAAAAGTGATCACATGACCCCAGGATATTGCAGCCATCATAAAGATGAACCAGTTGCCAATCATCCAAATTTTGATCATGTGACCGTGGGGATGCTGCAATGGTCTTAAGCGTGAAAAACGGTCATAAGTCACTTTTTTTCCAGTGCTGTTGTAACTTTGAACAGTCACTGAATGAACTGTTGTAAGTCAAAGACTACCTGTACTGGAACAATACTGTAGCTATTCCGGTAGTGAGGTTAGACCATTTTGATCTTGACCTCTACTGAAATCTTCAACGCAGAAGTGGGCAAGCTTTCCAAATTTTTGTGACAATAATACTGATAGTCCAAATAAATGTCCTGGGAGGGATGGGAGATGGGAGCCTGAGAGAGCTGAAAAAATTCAAGTTGCAGCAGTCACTACAGCTTTCATTTGTGGCCTGCAAGCTGGCCATCCCTGTACTAATGTTGGGTTTGATCCAAATATAACCTGAAAAATGAGAGCCCTAGAACAATTTATTGAACATCATACCTCTAATTCGAGCCTGCTAGACACACACTCTTCCACCTTCTGTCCTTTGAGAGTTACACTTCCACTAAATGGAACAGAGCGAAGCTTAGAAAAATGCACTCTTGATGGCAAGCCTAATTGCTTCCTCTCACTTTCTGCTTCAAATGTATAGTTCAAAACTGGAGAAAGGAGAAGTGTGAAAGAAAAAACAAAACACTTGGAAATAGTTAAGGCTAGGAGATACAGCACAATAAGAATTGCACTCCGTCCAAGCTAGTTCTGGGAAGAAAACCACCCCACAAATACTTTTGTTTTTAAAAATGCCCCTGGATATTACACTGTAGTTATATATATTGGGAATTAACTAGATACTTTTCTATATCTCCTGCATGCTTATGCTCTGTACTCCTGCTAAATGCTACAGCTAAATTGCTGTATTTGAACTCATTGGCATAAGTGCCCTAATTCAGCCACACTATGATTGACAATCTCAAGAATGATATTAATGGTGTGATGTGATTTTTGTTTTAAATACAAACGAACAGAAAAGCAAAAAGAGTGCCAGCTTTAACCATTTTAGCACAACAATTCTGGAAGGAGTGGATGGGATGGGGATTAAAAATAAATAAAATGGAACGTATTTTTCTTGATGTGGGCATTCAGTCCAATCCATTTTGAAGAGTGTCTCAAATTTCACATCTTTCAGATTCAAGAGGCCAGATCCTGGCGACTGTGAGTTGAGACACATCTAGAATATCCAGACTGGACAATATAGATTGGCTTCTTTTTCATTCTTCAAACTCAACTCAAAGACAAGATTGATCTACAAAGAAAGTAGCCATGGAGAAAATTTGTCCTAGGCTTATCTTTCTCTGCACTGCCCTCATGGGGTATACACATACACAAAGAAGCCCGGATGAGAAAGCTAAATTTCTGAAATCACCCACAAAAGTAATAAGGGTGCTTAAAAAAAATTCAAGACTCTCAATTGGAGCTTGACTTTTTCTTACTATATTAGTTGTGTTGATGATCCCATTGCTTGACGATACGGAAGTGATTTGCCCTGCCTCCTTCAATGTTTTATTTCCCATTATAAGTTACAGCCTTGGGATTTCCTGGTGGCCTTTTATCCAAGTATTAACAAGGCCAGAAACTACTTAAGCTTTTTTCAAGATCAACAAAGTACTGTCATGTGCTGGGGCAATAATGATAGACAAGTATTATTATAAAAACTTACTTATTTTTTGATTGAAGTTAGGCTCGCTAGCTGTATATTCAAAACATGATCTAATGTTCAGGCTGCAAAAATTCAAGAGGATAGAAGTGGTTTTAAAAAGTGAGTTCTATATGGATGACATTTTCTTAAGAATAATTGGAAACTCAAGAAGGAAGACCTCTCTTTGAGAATCCTTCCTCTTATATTGGACTCTCAGACACATTTTAGATGGCTAAAATCCAGTATGTTATCCTAATAGCACAGTTTTGCACTAGATGTGAGTTGTTCAGAAGCTAATTACCTAAGGTGCAAAGTCTTCTACCTCTTGGAAAGCTTCCACATTATGACTTTATTCTTGCTAGCCTCAGGAAATGGAAATAAAGTTAGCATGGAGTTGCAGACTCCATCAGGAAGAGGAAGTGTTGGATATGTGTCCAGATCTGCACCTGAGCAGAGTGTAATACCTAAGCATTGAAACTTCCTGACTGCTGCATAACCTATTTGTTGATCTAACTCTACCAACAAGTCAGCAATGAGAAGAATAAGGAAATAGAACACAGTCTCCTTTATTTGCCTTGCTCTCTTCTTCTGCCCACGCCTGGACTTTCTCAGCTGTTTCTAGAGATGCTAGAGTATGAATCTGGGACCTTTGCACACAAAGCACATGCTCTACAACAGAATTAGGGCCATCCTTAATGAAGGGGTGCTGCATTTATTCCATGCTACTACCATCCTAAAAGTATTAATGGGATGTACCATGTGACCATACACCAAAATAGGACTAAAGGTAGCACATAAACCACTTGCATGTAAATCCATGTGCTAAAAATGGAAACGACAACAAAAGGCTCAGTGGCTCACCAAAGGCTACTGGACACTTCACAGTTCTTCATATTCAGATCAATTCTGTCTGGAGAGATCGTAATGGTTTTCTTAATGCTTATTACAGGCCTTGACCTTGTGAGAAGTGAAGCAAGGAGAGAGAAAAATCGTTAAAATAGAAGTAGTGAGAGGAAAGAAGAACTGCTTTACATTAATAAACGGTAACAATAACTCGAAGCTTCAGTCTTACAGTCAGGGTGTCACACAAGGAGGATGAAAGCTATCCTGCTTTGTTTCGTGTAATAGCACATTAAAGTCATACCTATCCATGGGGTAAATCACTTTACAGGGTGATACTCATAGGGAAATAGGAGGAGAAAGGAATGCAGGTAGTCCTGGACTTACAACCACAACTGAGCCCAACATTTCTGTTGTTAAGTGAGTTACTTGTCAAGTGAGTTTTGCCACATTTTACACCCTTTCTCGCCTCAGCTGTTAAGTGAAACCATTGCACTTGGTAAGTTAGTAAGCCGATTGTTGATTGAATTCTGGCTTTCCCGTTGACTTTGCTTCTCAGAAGGTCACAAAAGGGGATCACATGATTTTTGGGAATCTGCAACCGTCATAAATATGAACCAATTGCCAAGCATCTGAGTTTTAGTCCCGTGATCATGGGGGATGCTGCAAAGGGCGTAACTTTTTTCAAAAGTCACTTTTTTCAGTGCCGTTGTAACTTTCAATGGTCACTAAACCAACTGTTGTAAGTTGAGGACTACCCGTATTAGGTATGCCCACTGCTTTAAAATATTTATAAAAGCAATGAAGGCAGGCTTTAAAAGTCTAATGAGTAAATAAAAAAATAAATCAATGGCTCCATTCCAATCACTATTTTGCATCTGGTTCTGCTCCCACCCACTGTTGTGGACCTGTTTGTCAATGGTGTATTTCTGAGGTTCTGATTTAAAAAAACCAAAGCTCTCACAAGCATGAAACTGGACCAACACGAATAGCAGCAGGGATGTTTCAAAGTTTAGCACAGTTTCACATTGGAAATCATCTCAAACAATGTTTCTCAACCATGGCAACTTTAAGATGGGTGACGTCAACTCCCAGAATTCCCCAGCCACGTTTGAGAAACATTGATCTAAAATGATAGGAACAATCTATTTTGCCCTAGAAGCAACTGATTTGCCTAAAAATCACACATTAGAGCTGTGGAATTCTGGGAGTTGAAGTCCACATGCCTTAAAATTGTCAAGGTTGAGAAACACTGCATTAGAGGCAAGAATGTTCAAATTCAAAATATTCTTCACACCCCCTCAGTAGACTTAAGAGTAGTTGTGGAATCAATTGGTCTTACAGATTTGATAACTAGATGAATAAACTTACTTTAAGAACCTCTTTTATTTGGGGGGCGACAGTTAAATCATAATAAAGAGGGCACATACCTGTAAACTGAAACAGTATCTGAAAGAGATCCAACAGCAATGTCAGGGTAAGAGTTTCCATCAAGATCCATATTTCCAGTGATAGAATACCCAAAGAATATCACATTATTTGTCGCGCCATCAAGAGTCTAGAAACGCAAAACAAAAGCATACAAATGCAGCATAGTGTCAAATTACCTCTTTAACGAATGTATTCATTCAATATGTGGGAACCTATGCTGAGATTTTCAAAAAGTCAGATGTCTATGGAGATTCTCAGCCATCCAGGTCATGACTGTCCCAAAGGTGCTTTTCAAGAGGCAACTGGACTTTCTTGGTTTTCTTTTGAAGATGTTTCGCTTCTCATCCAAGAAGCTTAGAAAAATGCTGAAGAAGCTTCTTGGATGAGAAGCGAAACATCTTCGAAGAAAAAACCAGAAAGTCCACTCACCTCTTGAAAAAGCACCTTTGGAACAAGATCCAATGCTTTCATCAACATGACCAAAGCAGCACTGCACTGGAAGCTCCGCCTTTTTGTACATGGACATGACATCATAATGCCAGGGGAGAAGGACATAATTTGAAAAACAACAATACAACACTGCTTTCTTCACTTAGTTCCCACCCTTGACCCCATTTATAGACAAGTCTTGGGGTGTTCCCTTTAAGTCAATCTTGACTCTTGGCCATTTCCCAAATAGATCCGTGCAACATTGCATAAGGCTGCTGTTTGTCATTGCCTTCTTCTGCAATGTTTTTCAGCCTCCGGTTGAGAGAAAGGGACTGACAATTCTATCCCCTACAATATTAAATAGATGAACAAAATCAGGAGTACACTAGACAGATGAATCACTGAACTGCAAGTGGCAATTTCTTTCAAGTTTTAGGCCCTTTCCTGTGTGGACCACTGCATTTTCTAAACCGGAAACAATATACAAAGAATATTCTGGTCATTTATTCAAAAACATTTCTGAACTGCGAAGAACACTTTTGCTGTGTTCTTTTAACCTTGTTTCATTGGCCAGTTTTTAATCCCCACAATTATAGTTATCCATTAGTTCCTAATTCATCCCAGTTGCTATCCACAACTAATTCTACATGCATAAGAAAAAGAGTTGTGCATCTCTTCATCTCTCCTTTCAAATTGTAAGCTCTTATTAGAATTATTGACATACAGAAATAAGAATTTATTGTCGATTGCTCAGAACAGACAGTCAATTTTTCCCAGATTTCTTGAATGTATAAATTGCTTATGAATAATGGAAAAATCAATGGCAATTAGAAGACATTATGTCTGTATTTACATGAGGTCATTTCTTCACTTTGTATATGAAGAAAAATTATGATTTGAAACAGAAAACAAGAATCAGAAATCTGTTTGAACAAGAAAATATTCCCAAAGCTTGCAGGAAGGAAAGATGCAAGCTTAAATGCTGGTTGTTGATAGGCTCATTTAAACACCCAAAATTTAAAAAGCTCGTGTTGCTTTTGCAAGTAAGGCAGCTCTTGAAAAAAACAAAAGTATATCTAATTTCCTTATATCAATGGAACAGTATTAATATGCTGCATGTTCCTGTATTTCCTGCCCCTTTCTATCCTTCAAATTCAGTATAAAAAGGAAAAATTGGAGCACTGAAAAGGAGAATAGAAGGGGAAGACATATGGGTTCTCCCGTCTCCAGCGTTTTGGTTTCTGAGCTTTCTCTTTGGAGGTGTGGTGGCTGGAAGTAGTGGTGCACCGTCAATAACATTGCTGTCCATAATACTTACGTCATTTGCAATGTGCAACACATTGCCTTGCCTATACCAATGTGATGACTTCTTCCCAATCCAGCATTGTTCTCCCAAGTTCACTACTGCCCTCTTTCCCTTCCTACTAAAGAGAAACAGCAGTTTTGCTGGAGAGGGGCGAAACTCTTTTTCTACCTATTAACTAAGCCTTCTTGTGAGTCCATGTCATGGTAGCCTGAACAGAGACCCAGGTCCACTAGATCAGAGGTCCCCAACCTTTTGGGCACCAAGGACCGGTTCCGTGGAGACGGGTTTTTCCACGGACCGGAGGGTGCGTGGTTTTGTATGCTGCCTGTATCCCACAGATGGGGCTTTGCTTGTCTGTGCAGACCCATTGCTGGCATGCCACGGCCCAGTACCGGTCCATGGACCAAGGGTTGGGGACTCCTCCACTAGATTCCTCAAGACGTGTTTGAGACTAACAAAAGATTCCAACTCCCACAGGAATTCTACATAGAAAGTTCTTAAAAGAGTGTGGAAAAGTAATGCATGCCTGGCAAACTGATTATGATACAACTTCCTCCTTACACATTCATTAAATATGACACGATCTGCACAGAGCTGAAAACAGGGATGGTTAAAAAGGCAAAAAACAAGTGGACCAGCACTTTTGGAAGAAAGGAAACAGGAAAGAAGCTCTGAAGATGCTAGGCCAGGCAATCCTTGTCTGGCTAAAATGATGAGTGTTTAAATCCAACATAGTGAAAAAGAAGTTTGAAAAACCATAGGAAGGGCACAGGGGGTAATACAATACTAGATAAAATAAATACAGCGTTAAAAGCCAGTAAGTGGTGGAAGCTGATGGCTTCAATGACTGGGCAGCTGTTCAGGAGCAAGTGAGTAGATAAAATAAATGAAATTCCACTATTAGCTTGTTGCAAAGCTGATACCTGTGCTGGTGTTGTTTTAATTCCATCCCTGGAGCCATGATAGAGGTATACCCTGCCAAACTCTCCATCATAAGGAGCCCCTACAGCAATATCTGTATTTTAAAAAGAGGAAAGAAAACAGAAATACTCAGGCTGATCTTCCTTATTTCTACAACATGAGTTGTTTACATGAGGCATAACAAAACAAGCACACAAATCTTAGCAAAGGAGAGAGAAGGGTAAAATAACAAATCTAAAACTTTAAATATGAAATTATAAATTATGCCACAAAGAACATGATTTGCAAGGTGCAAATTTCCTAAGGATAAATGCAAGTTCCAAAACATTTGACTTTTAGACAAAACACTGCTCAGTATTTCATGGCATTCCTAGCTTTATGATGTCAGCTTTGTTGACTAATTTTAAAACTAAACATGGGATATAAAAATGATAAATAAACCACACAAAAATAAATTAATAAAGAAACATTTTATTGGCTCCAAAGATTATGGCAGTGATGGCGAACCTTTTAGAGACCGAGTGCCCAAAAACTGTTCCTCCCCACCCACCACTCCGCCCCCCCCACCCACAGGGCCACCCATTGCCTCCATGGCCCGCCACAGCAAATCATCCAGGCGGCCCAGCAGCACCATAGTGGCCACGCTCTCCGCCCGTGCCCCGCAGCATCATTTGCGCACAATGGGGCATGAAGCCAGAGTCTTGTCCCTGCTGCCCAGCTGCCATGTCCTTGGCTGTGCTGCTCCGCACAGACCACATTTGAGGGCGACTCTCCAGGGGGGGTTCTGGGGAGGAGGGGTCCGCACAGGGAGGCAGGGCTGGGGCGACAGTGTGCATGCCCACAGAGAGGGCTCTGAGTGCCGTATCTGGCACGCGTGCCGTAGGTTCGCCACCACTGGACTATGGATTAAGCATTATGTTGGATTCAGGTTTCTGGATAATTTGGGCCAATTGCTGAATGTTAACAACAAAAAAATCCATGCAAATCCAAATCCATGCAATACATACAAGTTTCTTTCCTGCTTACCTGGAAAGCCGTCTTTATTAACATCACCAACGTTTTCAACTGCAATCCCAAACATGGAATCTTTAGATCCATTGAGGCGAATTGGGTTTACTCTGTCCCATTTGCCTTCCTGATTAATATACACATATGCAGCACCACCAATTTGTCCTTCTTTTTCAAAATACTGTGGGGCTCCAACCACAATATCTTGCCAACTGAAAAAAGTAGAGCAAAAAAGGTTTTAAGTCCTCCCTCTCTTCCTCTCTCTCGCTCTCTCTCAAAAAAATAAAATAAAATACTCCCAAGCAACTTTGAAGAGATCAGATCAGTTAAACAACTCCTGCTCAATGCATGGAACAAAAATGGGAGCGATTTGCTTGAATCAAGCAGGATTTCTGGTTCCTTCGTGTATATATAGAGGTCTTTCTTAGAAAAGAATACTATAAAATACTTAGAATTTTCTTTAAATACTTAGAAAAGCAAGGTTGCTTTTAAATAGATAGTTGTAACTCAGCAGGTGTGTGTATTCCTTTAAGAGTCAGAGTATAAAAGGGAAGTTTTTGCTGGAGTCTTTCTCTCTCTTGTCTGTTTGATTGCTGTAATTGCTGTGCATTGGAGTTTGCTGTTTCACCACGTGTATGTATTATATTTCTAGTGTATATTTGTAGATATAGTGTAATATAAACCATCATTTAAATACAAACCACTGTTTACTATATTTACTCCTGGGTTACCTCTGCGCAATAAGACTGCAAGGTGACGCAGCAGTTAGAGTGCAGTACTGCAGGCCACTTTAGCTGACTGTGTTCAGCAGGTCAGCGGTTCAAATCTCACCGGCTCAAGGTTGACTCAGCCTTCCATCCTTCCGAGGTAGGTAAAATGAGGACCCAGATTGTTGGGGGCAGTGTAAAATATATATATACATTGCTTACTGGTGTACACCGCTTAGAGAGTGCTTGCACTTAAAGCGGTATATAAGTCTCATAAATAAATAAAATAAATAAATAAATATAAGCATCTGTGAAGAAAAAATCCTTAAGTGCAGCTTTAAAAGTTTCAGCAATGAAGGGCCAATCTTGGATAAGAATGATGGAAACTGCAGGAGATCGCATTTGGGAAGCTCTCTTATACTGTTGCTTTATAATAATCTTTCAGTGATTGATTATGATAAAAGTCCTGCAATGCTGGTTGTTACGATTCTAATAGGTGGTCATCTCATAGCATTTATGAGATTCCACTTTTGGACCCAGACTTGCTTCTGAGTAAATATGTACATCACTCTACAAAGGTAAGCGTGATTCCGTCAAAATTTATTGCTATGATGTATATAGTATAAATTCTAGAATCTAAGTTCTCCATCGTTGTCTTTTTAGCTTTCCTGAACTTTATATTTGCTGCATGCATTTGGATTTTTTGTTTAAAGTATAAGAGATCTGGCCGGTGGCTTTTCTGAAACGGATACAGGGGATGTTGCATATGCTATTGTTCCCCTCTGCTATTTCTGAGTTGCAGAGAAAGAGCCCAGTTCTGCTCCCACTTTGCCAAAAAGATCGGATCACGGGCCACAGAAAAGCAACTGGGAGGGGTGAAGAAGAGGAATCTTACCCATCATTGTTGAGGTCCACAACAGCCACATCATAGCCGAAGGAAGAGGCAAGCCCTTCGCCTTCAAATATGTGTACAGAGGACAAGGCCCGCTGGATGTCACTGTCTTTTTTCAGAAGGACCACCGCCCCACTATGGTTGGCTCTCGGAGCACCAGAAACAAAAGTGACCTCCTCCTTAGAAACGATCCCTTTTCCAGAGTCCAAAGAAAACCCTAAAACAGAACACAAATGTTCAGCTAAAAACACCTCACACTCTGACCTGTAATGCCTGGCAACTATTGTTATGTTAAAGGAGGGTTACGAAAATGGGATAGGTATGCCTGTATATCACACAAAGATATATATTTTTTTCTTTTTAAGAAAAAGGAGCTCCAGGTTACAGGAAAACACACTCCCTGACTTTTAAACACATCAAAGCAAAAACTGCCAGCAAATTGTTGAAAGGCCAAAGCTGCATGCTTCTCAGGATAGATCTTTTCTATAGAGGCCTTTCCTTAGAGATATCTTGGGAAGCTCTGGGCCAGCAGTAAGTAAGACGAAAGTTTGGATCAGCACCAGTTTTATCTGCCTCACACCTTTCTCTTTGGGGTCCTTGGTACTCAAAGGAGAGCAAACCCCAATCCTGACTTGCACTGATTATGTTACCTAGTTTGGTAATGAAACGTCTTCAAGAAAACAACCAAGCTCAGAAAGTACCAAGGACCCCTCATTTCAACCCTGAGCTATAAATATTCTCTTCTCTAGGTATCTTTTTCTTCCTCCCCTTGTTTTGTTTTTTGTTTGCAAGAGAAGGAATAACAGGGTAAGACTATTGAGTCTTACAAAGTTGAGACTAAGAAGGATCTTTTCATCTTCCCAAACATCTGTATGCATTGGACAATAATTTCCACAGTCTCCAGACCCGCTTGTTTGAGTAAAGCTGATCAAAACAAAACAAAAAAGACAATTTTCTCTCCTCTCCCTCCCTCCCTCCCACACAGAGACACAAATACCACATCTGATGTACACTTTTATGTATCCAACCCTCAGTCCATCAGTGTAGACCTCAAACATCCTTTCATTTATTTTTATATATCCACCCACCATTTTCATATATAACACCCATTTATTCGCTTTTCAATACACATCACAAAACCAAAATGCAAAAGGGGAAGAGGATGAAGAAGACAGAGGTGCAATAGATTGCAATTTCCCACCCTCTGATACACAAACAGAAAGACAGACACACAGGCACATATATACAGTGTGTACATACATACAAAGACAGCCTCTTCAATATATTGACTAATTATGCATGCAATCCATTTCAGAGACAAGTGAACATTAACAACAACAAAAACACCTTGCATGCACTTTAAAATGACTGTGCCCCTTAGCTACAGCAACCCTATGATGTTCAATGAAAGTTCATACTATCGTGGGAAATGGTTCATACTCTCACATCTCAACAAAGGGCATGCTTTGCCCAAAATGTCAAACCAGGATTAATTTGCCAAATACTCTACATTAGTTTTTATAGGACTCACATAGCCCCAGCCAAATATACTTCCAGTTTTGGGAGCAGCAGTGGTGTAATTACTAGAGTCACTTGGATAAAGTCCTTCAAGAATGTGAAAACAAAAAACTCCAAAAAAAATCACCTGCATAAAAGAAATGCTGTGAACAGAACTCCATGTTATACACAGTGATTATCCTTAGCCATTTATAATATTGATAGTTTATCATTCCTTCAATAAACGGGGGGGGGGGGAGTTGTAAATCAGGTGCATCACTATGTTTACCTTTCTGGGTTTTTTTAATTCTCTCTTTCCTGTCAGAACTTTAAATACTATGGGCAAATATCATCTTGAATCTTTGGCCCACAAAAAACAATGGTGAGTTGCTGGGTGCTTACAGAAGTGGGATGTTGGGTGTGAGTGTGGGTGGGCCAAGAACTGTTTTAATAGCAGTGAAAGGGAACAGTTTTGGTTGTCTCAAGACCCAGGCAGTCTAGGCAGAAATGGATCAGGGCTGTTTTCAAATACTGGGGGACCTTCCCAACAATTTGGAATGCAATTCTAGAGAGCCAGGAACTGGAGAACAATCAAGGTTCTGGATATAATTGCTTCCAAGTGGCCTTTTGTCATTAGTTGATCCTAGGAAGTCTCTTGGTTTACTGAGGACTTCCTGGAGATGAAAACCATAGAAGAAACACCTTTCATGCTGGCAGACAAAGTTCAAAAGTGAATCTGACCAGGCGTATGTTTAAGCCTACACCATGGTTATAAGAATAACAATGCATGCTTGTTTCTCCATTCTTACAGCATCAGTGGGTTGCCTTCCAGTGGCATTGCTTAAGGTTGCCTATTCTCTGTTAGGGTACATTATTGAGCAAGAAAAACCACACCTTCCTGGGACCAACATTTTGCTGATAAAGTCCCTCCAATTTGACTTTTTGTGGACAGAATCCAATGTGATGCCTTGAACAATGTCTTGCAATGTTATCTAGGAATCTTCTCAGCCTGTAGACTCTGATAGAGAAGGTGCTCTCTATGACCTAAGGGCTCATTGAAAGAGAAGGTTTCCACCAACCAAGAAGAGGGTGATAATGTATTCCCATCAAGAAGCCATCCCTGTACCTGATAATTTTTGTTTATCATTCAATTTTCTTTTTGTTCAGAACATGCTTGAGAAACAGTGTGGTATCACCTACAAAGTGCTTACCAGGAAGTGAATTATATAGAACTGTTGCAATCTGGATTCAGACACAATGATGTCTTTGGTTGTTTCTGATTGCTTTGTTAGGACATGAATGGTGAATGCACTTCTCCTGGCCCTTGTAGATTCCCAGCAACTTTTCCTACCACTGACTGTGGTATCTTCCTGAACTGCTTGCAAGTGTACTTTATTGGTTTTATTCTTATGTAAGTAGCAGTACCATATGGTGGCAATTGGGGAAGAGAGATTGACCTGGTACTGTAAGTCCTCAGTTGTGAGATTCTGTAGGGATCAATCCTCTTCCTATTGCTGTTTAATGTTCAGATGGCACCACTGGGAGAAGTCGCTTAGTTTGGGGTGAAATACCATCAGAATAGCAGTGATACGTAGTTGTACGTCTCCATTCTGAGCCATAGATATCTTGAACTAGTGTTGGGAGGCTGTTAGGATCAAGAGTTGAACCCAAGTAAGACAAGGTCATTGAAGGCATCTCTACTGATTCCAGTTTCTGAAGGTGTGACACCCTTTTCTTCCACCATTCTTCCAACATTTAATGATGTTCAACGTGCTATTAGTTTTTCTACTGAGAAACCAACTATTCTCTTTTCAGGCATGGATAAGGTTACCTTCTGAATATAATGATAACCCCGGGCACCTGTTTATACATTTAGAAATTAGATGAAATTACAAATGAAGCCGTCTATGAATTCATTCATTGTATTCAGGGAACAAAAAGACCCATTACCCAAATCTGAAGAAACAGGTTGTTAAGCGTAATGAAGTATAAACAACACTTGCCTCTCTTGTGGCATTTATTTTTAAAGACATAAAACCTATTGCCTCTCTTTCAAAAGAAAACCCAAACCTTAAAGGTCAGTTACATAGGAAGAAGAAAGACTTTAATTAGAGCCAAAGCATTGTGGAGCTGGTTTGGTCCAGTTTATAAAAACCGGTGTTACAATTCTGTTTAAGATGGGAGGGGGATGGATCATCAGAAAGATCAGTAGTGATAGCAGGAAGATGCTGATAAGATGAAGGGCTGAAGTCACAAAATGTTGACAAGATTGAGGGTAAATGGACAAGCTGGTAGAAAAGTGCTGGAAAAATGGGTGGGCCAGCCAGCATATCATTGCGAAGAAGATATGTTCAGCTCTGTGAGTCTTCTACCAAGTAAACCAATTTTTGAAGAATTGTGAATAAGGTGCCAGTCTCTGGAGAGCTGAAACTTCCTGCCATGCCTGTAGGACATTAAATGAGTGATTTGCTGAAGAAGCTTAAACTTTGTTTTTTAAGCAAATACAAGAGGCAGCATATAGGCCAGAGGTGAGGAACTATGGCCCCTTTATGACCTGTGGACTTCAACTCCCAGCATTCCTGAGACAGCATGGCTGGCTCAAGAATTCTGAGAGTTGAAGTCCACAAGTCATAAAAGGACCATAGTTCCCCACCCCTGATATAGGCAATGAAAAACTAAAAGGTAGTAGGACCCAACAAAAGGCTACTGCATACCATGGATTCCCCTACCGAATTAGCTTCCCTTTTTACTAAAATGTATTATTCTTATTTATTTCATTTGATGACATTTCTATATAACCATTCATGCCATATAATTATCAACAATGTGGAAGAGGTGCTGGGGATAAATGCACTATCATAAAATACGATTTAAAAGATAAGCTAACATCACATTTTATGGGGAATGGGGCAGGGATGTTGGCCCAGAGATGTGGGGTTTAATGATATATCCACATTATGCATAACATGTAGTTCTACCCCATTTCATCTGCATCAAATTCAGTTCTAAAGAATAAATATACTTTAAAGTGAATATATACCACAAATTATATATTTTTAATTCTTAACTTTTTTAAAAAAAAGTTTTGTCATACCAAGATAAAAATTGAGATGTTAGAAAAGAAAACCTGGATTGTTTCACTGCTGCCTTTCCAATTCTCAATTTGAAAACAGTGTTGTGAGATAAGAGATTTAGGTAAGATGGTGATGATGACATATTTTATTGACTAAATATTCCAATACCATTTCTTTGGTGCTACAATATTCACCCAAGTGTTTCGTTTATTTGTTTGATAAAGTAGTCACCAGAAGGATGACCACGATCCATATGTCTAATAGGTCTTCCAATTCCATTATCATCTCTCTGACTAAGCAAGCATTTGATAGCTTCCAGATTTTGTTTACTCAAACCACCATCTCCTGTAAGTCTCTCATCTCATCTGCACTTTTCCCTCAGACATGCTTTGACTTGGAATGGAAGTCAAACAATGATCTCTGAAGTGTCATGAATGAAAGCAGATGGGTTGGTGCTTTGGAAGTCACAAACCTAAGTAGCTATTCATCGTCAAATCAGCAGGTTTGTCTACTCTGACACTGGGAGGCAGTGTTTTGTACACAAACTGATCAGGGTTGGCATAAGACACGCTTGTCATAAAAAGGAGACCTGTAGCAATGAGTAGAGAAAGAAAAGGCAGACAAGGAGGACAAGTTAAGCAGAGAGCAGAAAAATAGATAGTTCCATGCAGTCCAGCTGAAGCGCTTACTGGTACAAATAAAGGACAGTAAAGAAATACACTGTGAGAGTATACAGCAGGGGTCGGCAAATTATTTCTGTAAAGGGCCAGATCCTACCCCTCCTCTGCCTCTGTGGGAATGGCTAGCAGGTCTGCAGATCAAGGAGCATGACAGCCAATAAATGGTAAGGCCTGCAAGCAAGAGGCTGCCAATAGGACAATGTACCCCTGGCGCTCAACTCCATCCCTCTCCCCAGGAGCTCAGCTGAGGCTCAAGCCTGGCAATCTGCCACCTGCTTACCTATCCATTCTTATATGTAGGCCATAAAACAAGAAGCAGCAGGCTGGATTTGGCCCATGGTCATAGTTTGCCAACCCCTGATATAGAACATTAATCAAGGAACAGGATAGTGCAGGGGTGGGCAACCTTGGCTCTTTTATGACTCGTGGACTTCAACTCCCAGAATTCCTGAGCTAGTCCACAAATCATAAAAGAGCCAAGGTTGCCTACCCCTGGGATAGTCAATAACAGCTTTCCCCAACTTGGCATTCTCTGCATGCTACGGAACTATAATTCCCAGAATTCCAATGGCCATGGTAGCAGGGAGGTATGTGAATTGCAATCCCAATATATGTCCATGTAGAAAAGCCAGGTCTAGAGATAACATTTTCTGGAATGTAAATAAAGCTGTGGGTTTTTTTTTCATTAACAAACATTACTAAATGTAACGCCATACCTATTTTTTATCTTATTTGTGGAAAACTATTTTATGCTGTTTTATCCCCAGCTTTCACCTTTGTGTTCCATTCCAGCTGTGAAAAACAGATTTGCTGTAGATGTCCCTCACACTAGCAGTAGAGGAACCAATGGCAGACACAGTGCTTACAACAGAAGATCCACCCAGTGTCTCCAGTGAAAAAAATGAAGCACCATCTTTCCTCACAGACAGTCACAACAAGTCCTATGTTTTACTTACGGTATCAGGACCCAGTTTAGTGTAGCCACCAAAGCTACGCAAAGTTGTGCTTATTTTTCACCGTTTACCTTAATAAAAACTATTTTGCCATTTTTTTAAAAGTGCCATACAAATGTTCATTTGGTTGAACCCAAGTTCAATGCCCCGCATCCCCCCCCCCCCGTCAGCATTTAAAAGCACATTTGTAATTCCCATGCAAGGCAGAACTCTATCAAGACAGCCATTAAACATTTCAAGGAAGCCCCAAGACTTAAGCTGATGGTTCTGGAGTGTTCCTTGAAAGCTTTTGCTATAGATATGTTTGCATCCTGTTCAGCAACCAGCAATCGATAGAATTCCTTAGGCTAGATAGAGCTACTGATCCTCAACCCATAGTCTTCCATGAGAGAGAGAGAGTTGTTAAGCACGGCATAAGAATTTCCAAGTTGACAACTGTACCTCTTAAATCTGTCTTCACGTTAGTGGCTCTTAAGGATTCTACAGCCAGGATGCTATCTGTACTTTGGAGGAAGCTTAAAAATGGCAGGATGAATGGCTAAAGCTTTGATCAAAATTTAAGGGTTCCATAACTCTGTTACCTTCTGGGGGCATTTCAATTGGACCGCTCGGATGGCCATTTTTCCTTTCAGTTCTCTCAAGAGTTTAATCCTACCTAAATAACTGTTAGCAGGAACAGGAACCAGGGACTCCTTTTTCAGGCTTTCACCCCCAATTTCATAAGGCCCATCATCAAATATGCCCATTTCGTCAAGGGTGTGATTCTTTTGCTCTGCACGCACCATGCCTAGAAGAATGAAATGGCAAAACAGAACAAAAACAAAAGATGGGATGAATGTTAAAGAACGGGGAACATTAAATAAAATAGTTTTAAAATGGAAGGAGCAAAGAAACGAAGGGAGTGACCACAACTGAGCCCAATTCTATCCTTGATTTGATTACAATGACATAATGAATGGCAGAAAAAAAGATTCTGGAAAATGAGATTAGGGCAATATGCACACACACACACATACACCCCGCAAAATTTGCATATTGTATTGGTAGTAAACATGTAGCACGGACACACTTCATAATTTGCATATTGTAGTGGTAGTAAACATGTAGCATGGACACACTTCTAAATATACTCCACTTGAGAGAATGGCATCGGATGGATTATTTTGGCAGAATCAAGTTTGCTGAAGAGATAGAAAGGACTAGAAGCAGTAAGAGGGGAGGAAGAGAAATCAGAGCTTTTCAAGAGTACAGAAAAGTGAGAAAGGCACAGATGCCCAGAGAATTTGAAAATAAAGATGGAGATCAGAAATGAGTAAGAATTACATTAAACTTTTTTGGGGGGCGGGGGGAGAAGAACATATTTCCAAAATAAATCAGCTTCATGACTAGAATACTGAGTGACTAACTCTTGTGATAATCAGAAAGTTGTTTCTTTCCCTCTAAATTTAAAAGGAGAAAAGGGCACTTTGGAGCCTAACATACATTAAGCAAAATGACAAAAGCAAAGCTTCCTATCCCCTTCTCTCCTTGTGGCCTGAGTCATTCTTTCAAAATCCTGCTGAGAGGGAGGCCTCCTGAAAGATATAGAAGAAGCATGGAGCATCAGCTGAGTAACAGCTTTAGGACAAAAGGGATTGGCTTCTAAGCAGTCAAATTGTTCCTCCAGTATTGTGGACGTTTTCCATTGCTATGTGGAGATGCAGGAATTAGAATCTGTGGCTTAGTGATGCAGATCAGATGCTCTATCACAAAACAATACTCTGCCCTGTTGGTTTTGAATGTTACACACACACACACACACACACACACACACACACAACCACAGTCATCTATTTCCTGTCCCATGTCATATTGCTTAGGTGGCTGCAAATGGAGTGGAAGGGATAAAAAAAAATCATTTTATGAATTTACTATAGGCAAATGATCTTAGGAACCAAAATTAGGGTAGTTGAGTTTAAGAGCTATGATATAAACATTAAAATCACTGGCACTTCAAGTACTAGGGGGAAAAGTCTCTAGAGCTGGTGAGAAGCTTAACATGATATTCTAATGCTGACTGGTCAATACTGGAATGATAATCAAGAACTGAAAACGCTGAGTCAATTACTAAAGAGTTAAAATGTCATAAAAATCGTACAATCTTACTCTCTTTTTGCCTTTAGTAAGCCTTTTTGAACTTAAAAGTGCAATGTTCAAAGTACAAAGACATTCATGCAGCACTTTATCTTGTGTCTGGACATCTCAGGAATCATACATCTTTCCTGCCATACCTAATAACAGTATGTTTTTCTAATTCTCTGAGGGACACTGGAAAGTTTTGATTGGCATGGCCCAGCAAAACTCTTTTAAGAGCTTTGCACTCGCAGTGGTCTATGTGCTGAGTGCAAAGCAAATGCCAAAGCAAATCTATCTGTGGGATTTATAGGAATGTTCTTCAAGCCACAGAGAGGAGCTGTAGCTCCATGTCATAAAAACGTGCTTTGCAAACAGGTGATGGAAAAAATACTTTGCAAAGAAAAGCTGATAGCATGTCCAGTGAAAAGGATCAGATCACAGGTGAAGATGAAGAAGATGAAGCAAATGAAGACGCAGAACAGAAAAAAAAAAAAACCTGCTGAAACTCTGTAGAATTCAGGAAGTCAGAGCAGACAGCGGAAAGAGAGATAGACCAAGTCTAAAGCAGCTTTTCATGGTTCTTTACGCTCTCCTCCTAATAACCAAAAAGGCAGGGAATGAAGTTGGGGCATATGGTGAATCAGTCACTAGTTTGTGCTGAATTCTGGTTACAGGCAGTCCTCTACTTACAATCAATTGTTAATGACCATTCAAAGAGCCTCAGAAAGAATGTTTATGGCCCATGAAGCACTTCAACAGAAGTAGTTGTCAGACTTAGTGGACAGTTTTATTTGACAGAACATTTGAATGATGGATATTTACAAATTCTTGCATCATTCCTTGCTGGCTTCCTCATGGCAATCACCTGTCCGCTTTTTGGATACTTAGCAATCAGCTTACATTTACAACTGGTTGCCAAGAACCCCGGGCAATCATGTGATTGCCATGGGGAAGCAAGCAAGGAACGATGCAAGCATTTGTAAATATCTATCATTCAAATATTCTGTCAAATAAATACTGTCTCCTAAGTGTGACAACTACTTCCGTTCACTTTTTGAGAAACCTAAACATTTCTACACCATTGAATACACTGCACAATATTCTCTTACAAAATTGCAGAATTTTCCCTGGACAAGTAAAAGCCTTAAAACTAAGCAACTACTGTAATTTAAGTTCACCAACAGCTAAACCTGATACCTTGTCTCAGAAAAGTCCAATCTTCTTGACAAAAACCCAGCATGTGGAGAGGTAAGCTTTCACTTGAAAACACCTTGTGCCAAGGCACAAAGATTGTACAGGGCTTATGTGTCAGGCACAGGTGTACGCTGCAAGGATTTATCACAAGAAGAAAAGGCCAGGGCAGAGAAGAATTCCACAGCTATTGGTATAACAAAGAGCACAAGAAAAACACTGCTTGGACAGAGAAAAAAAATGGTGGAAAGGAGTGAGTGGTGTTTTACAGCTTCTCTGCATAACTAAGATGGGGCAAAGCCATGGGCTTTCCGCCTTAATCACCAAATGAAATTCAGCAGATTTCTCTCTTCTGATTACTTTGGCTTTCAAACCAATTTTCTTCTCAATGAGGTTAATGGAATTTCAGTTGATATGAAAAAAAAACCCAGCAATAATCTAGGTGATTTATGTAAATGCCTCCTGATCTGCATGTTGAACGTGTGCGCGTTATGTGTGCATATACAGATATACATAGACATTCTTTTTGCATAAGCCTCCGCAAGGTATAAACATCAATATTGTATATTTTTATTTATTAATTAAATCTGTTTGCTGGTCATCTTGCCACAAGGCAACTCCAAAAAGATGCTTTGCAGGAGATAAGGGCACACTTGTTTCATCTGTCGGTGCCTCACTTGGGACGGTGCACCTTTTCCTGGGCATCTGTATGATGCCCAGAAAAGCTAAATATTACTGCTGTCTATTCTGAAGCACCTTATCATTAGACACGCTTCCTTAATGCAATTTCTGTGTTTAAGAGTAATATACCAGAAACCTGTTTGGTTGTTCTTCAGTTTTGGGGTGAATAGCATAAACGAGTGTTCAAAGTACATAATGTTTTCTAGCAGTGATTATTATTCTGTAGGATGCAGGATGTATAAATCTGGAAATAGACAATAGGAATGATATGAGCATAAAGAGGTTATACCTTTCCAGTTATAGGTCCCTGGTGCACCAAATACAATGTAATGATTATCTCTGGTAAATGTGGCCGCGACACCTTGTTGGCAGGAGCCAAATTTCTCATGGCCCCTCAGCCGTCCATCACAGAAGCTCCATTCCCCACCATCCATATACTCATTGATGGAAATGGAAAGATCCTGACTCAGCACGTAGCACCTCCCAATGATGTCTCGGGTTTCCTGTTCAGTGTTGACATAATACCTTTTCTCGTAGCGATGTGCACAGGTCTGTAAAGTATCAAAAGCAAATTCGATCAGTCAACAGATCTGTCTCCTCCACAAATGAACAGGGCTGATTTTCCAAACAATTAACTCCGCACAGAAGGTCTGTCTATTAGCGTGTCTTTGCTTTAACCAGACTGAATTGTATCTTAAAGGTGGCTTTACCTATAAAATGTAGTGAATTGTATCTTAAATGTGGCTTTACCTATAAAATATAACAGTGCACTTCCAATCTTATGTACACTGCTTTGTTAACCGGACCTTCGGAATAGCTTGTTTATTTTAGTTGTCCATATATCAATGTGGCTTGTGTGTAAGATCCACAAATAAGATATAAAAGAGAACTCTAGACCAGTTCCCATCTCAAATGATCAGAAATCTGCAAATCCTTTGAAAGAGACGCTGTAGAATACATAGGAGGGCACACGTAACACCACTTTCCAAATCACTCAAGCAGGCAGAATTTTTCCCAAGTGTGTGTGACTGCTCAAGAACCTGTCCCTGGCTGTCTCCACACATGTATGCATATACTGCCGCTTCACTTCATTCCACAATTCGGAAAGAAAAGATACGTACAGCCCTAAAAATTAGAAAGAAAACCAAATGGTACAATAGCACAACTTCAATCCTAGGGGTAACAATGATTAAACATTAGTCTGGCAGGCTAAACTATACTTTTTTCTTTTGTTTTTGAGTGCTGTGGGGGCTAGCGTTTTATTATGGAAATAGGGATTCCAGTAAGGATGCTGGAGGGATTACAGATTTTTGATGGGTTGAACCTTCAAACGGCTATTTTTGTTCTCCCTTTAAAAACTGTGGGAATTCATCCCTAAGTTGCTTCATAGCTTTGACACCAGCATAGTGTTTCTCAACCTTAATGACTAAGATGTGTGAATGACTCCCAGAATTCTGGTTCGGGAATTCTGGAGTAGAGGTCCACATACCATAGTTTTCCAGGATGAGAAATTTAGAAATTTAGCAGATCCATTTTTGGGAGCTTTAAAAAAATGGTTTGGTATATGGTATATGTCTCCTTGTGGTCTCTATGTTGTCCACTTCTGGCACTAAAATAGTACAGGTACTCCTCATTTAGCAATGACAACTGGGACCAGCACTTTGGTGGTTAAGTGAAGTGGTCACTAAATGAAACCATGACTGCACTTTCTTTTGCTTTAGACCTGCAAAGATCATAAATGTGAGGATAGGACTCAAAGATAATCCCTGTCATAATTGTGAATGGTTGCTGTACAAGGCAGACGCTAAATGAGGATACAGGTAGTCCTCAATTAATGACCATTGAGCAGCCGTTTGAACTTACAACTGGACTGAAAAAATTAACTTATGACGAGCCCTCACACTTATGGCAATTGCAACATCTTGCGTGATCACAGTCTGAGACCTTTCAGCCAAGTTCCGACCAGCAAAGTCAGTGGGAGATGATGGCAGGTCACAAGTCACAATCACATGATGTCTCAGTTATCAAGCACTGCTGGAACTGCTGTTGTAAGTCAACACGGTTATGTGACTTTTGCTCAACGACTGCTTTGAACTTGAAATTGTCAACGTTGGAATTGTCAGCGTCATTTAGGATTTTTAAGTGAGGAGTACCTGTATCTATAAAATCAAAATAATTCTGAAGACTTGTCAGTGTCAAAAAAAAGCCCCCAAAATAATCCTAAAGGTTTATCAGTGTCAAAAAAACCCCAACAATGTTGAGGCTCAGAGAACATTCTGAAAACTTACCACAATTTTCCCACCTGGCCCCTGACTTCGCACAGTTACACCCATCCATTGATCTTCTTTGCTTTCTTTTGTTGGGTCAGCTAAAAAAAAAATCATTGCAAAAAAAAAAGGTTTCATCTATTTCTACTAGTCTTTTAAAACAGTTTCTGTATAATTATGTGCAAATTATTATTTTCACTATGGATTCACTGAATAATATTATTTATATCCGCAACAGTCTTTAGATGGCGCTGTTTGTCTACAGTATTAGTACAAAATTTTCACTGCTTACTGCATTTAGTACTGGAGATACTGTATCATTATAGTATAAAATGTGTAATGAGTCGTATATTAAAATAGTAAAGAATAAAGGTATTCTTTGCTCGTATTCATCTTCTTCATACTATTCCTCTTTCTGTTTGTTGGATACTTCCTCAATCCCATCACAACAATGTATCAAGACTCCATGTTCATTGAACATCCTATCCTCATTTCTCATTCTGTTCTTGGGAATCTGTATTTGTCTAGAAAACTCAGAATTTCCTTCACTCTGTTGGTACATCATATGCTGTTTTTAACACAGAACAATTGGTGGTCAGGGAATTGACCTCACACTAATATATATGCAAAATATTTTTTTTTCTGGGACTATATATACTTTTTGAAGCATCTACGAACCTGACCCATCTATCATACTTGAATACATTACATGTGGTTTTTGAAAGAGCAAAACCTGCTCAAATTGCCAACAACAACAACGATGACGATGATGTTGGAAGGGACCTTGGAGGTCATCTAGTCCAATCCCCTGCTCAGCCAGGGAACCCTATACCATTTTAGACAAATGGCTGTCCAGTCTTTTCTTAAAAACTTCCAGTGTTGGAGCATTCACCAATTCTGGAGGCAGGTTGTTCCACTGGTTAATTGTTCTAACTGCCAGGAAGTTTCCCCTTAGTTTTAGGTTGCTTCTCTTCTTGATTATGAAAAACCAGTAACAATGAAAATGGAAGCTGAAAAACTAGCTAGGGGATTGTATTCAGGTTTAACAGTCATAATTAAACTGCCAGATTCGATTCTTCCAACAGGTTCCCAAATAAATATTTTTATTCTGCCTAGAAAAAAAAAAAAAAACCTCCAGCTAGCTCACCTGTCTCATCAAACTGGATACGTGTGCAAGGTAGTTCTGGAGTTTCGATGTTACAGCTGAACAGTCCTCCAGTTCTGTTGGCTTGTTGCAATGGGAAAGCCTTTTGTCGAGGTGCACCAACCAGCAAGCTGTAGAAAGAAGATCAGAAGAATGTAATGGGGAACCGACAGCTGCAGATGCAAATAAATATCAGGTATTACCTCATACACTTATAAAACATTACATCCATTACATCCCTCTCTGGTCCTGATATCAGAGTTGCAGCCCCTCTTCCCAATTCCCTACAAAGGAACACTTTTTCTCTTTTGAAAAAAATAATACAGGTAGTCCTCAACTTACGACAGCCCAAACTTGCTGTTGCTAAGTGAAACATGAATTTTGCCCCATTTTACGACCTTTCTTGCCACTGTTGTGTTAAGGGAGTAACACAGTGGTTAAGTGAATCTGGCTTCTCCATTGACTTTGCTTGTCAGAGAGTTGCAGAAGTGGACCACATGGCCCCCAAGGCACTGCAACCGTCATAAATATGAGTCAGTCGCCAAGCATCTGAGTTTTGATCACATGACGTGGGGATGCAGCCACAGTCATAAGTGTGGAAGTCCCTTTTTTCAGTGCTGTTGTAACTTTGAATGATCACTAAATGAACTGTCGTAATTTGAGGACTACCTGCATTGGCATTCTTTAGCTTGCTTTAGTTTCTTATTTAGATATGGTTGTGCACCCGCTGTGTGCGTAAATTTTATAGAGCAGACCAAGTCCACGTTTTGCCTCAAGGGTTTCATCTTTGCTTTTCTTTGCCTGATTTAGATGATAAGATAAGGTAAGGTAAGGTAAGATAAGGTAAGGTAAGATAAGATAACCTTTATTGTCATTTTTTTTTATTGTGGGTACAACGGCACACATCAAAAATGAAATTTAGTTGCCCGCTCTCAAAGTGAAACACATACATGACACACACCTAAGCATACAATATACAGCATATGTATAGACCCACACCCCTACATATACATAACAATCAAGGGACCCCTGGGTGGCTTACAAGATTAGACAACAGACAGTCAAATATAACACACACATACCAGCAACCACAGTTAAACAGCTGACTCCATTCATCATCTGTATGCCCATCTATCTACCTAGCTGAACTACCTGAGGAAACAAGTCTTCAATGCCTTCTTAAAAAAACAGAGTTAGAAATGGGGGGCAGGCGGGCGGGCAGGGAATAATCAGAGTCATCCAAATCTTCACACGGAAGGTGTTGCCATCAAGAAGACACAGCCCTTATATTCCAAGATCTGTAGATCCTTTCAGAAGAAATGCTTATCTCCTCTATAATTTCACTGTCCTTGGTTTGCCAAGTGTATGTTGCCCCGCTAGCTTAGCTCCTTTTGGGCTTAGAAAATTCCTTCAGGAATTAACTAGTTCTGGGACTTCAGGCCACATAGCATCTGAAGTACAGGTCATCCTTGACTTACAACCATTTGTTTAGCAAATGTTTGAAGTTACGACAGCGCTGAAAAACGTGATTTGAGACCCATCCTAGAGTTATGACCATCATACCATTACCATAGTCAGGGGCCACAATTCGAGTACAGGCCAAGAGCTTACATTTTCAATGGTTACAGCAGGGGTAGGCAACCTTGGCTCTTTTATGACTCATAGACGTCAACTCCCAGAATTCCTGAGCCAGCCATGCTGAGGGGAAAGAGAGAGTTTCCAATCTGAGCCATGCTGGCTCAGGAATTCTGGGAGTTGAAGTCCATGAGTCATAAAAGAGCCAAGGTTGCCTACCCCTGGGTTACAGCGTACTGTGGTCACGTGATCACAATCTGTGACCTTACCAGCTGGCTTCTAATAAGCAAAATCAAATGGGCGGATTTGTTTACCAATGGTGTGTTTCACTCAATGATCATCTGATTTGCTTAATAACTGCAGTAAATACTTAACACTTATGACCCATTTAATAAACCATAGTTAATATTTCTAAGGTGCAGTTGACAGATGACAGCCAGGCCTAAAGTACATCTTAATGCGAGTATTAGTGCAAATAGACAACCACAGATATAAATGTATCTCATGATTAAAAGTGAAATAAATCCACAGGACAAGAGATACTGTAGGTTGAGAGAAAAACAACAGAAACAATAGCTACAACTATTAATGGTTGAATACATGATACATCTCATCAGGTGTCATGTTGATTCATTTCATTTCATCCTATTCAGATACTTCAAAAATCTTCCCAGATGATAACTCCACTCCAATGACTCCAAGTAAAGCCAGGTTCATTTCTTTGAAACCTGTGCTTTAAAATCCTTGGTTTGTCATCAGATGAGAAAATCACACATTAAAGTGAAATGAATTGATAATCATTGTGTTTTAAGATGTAGTGAATGACTTGTCTCATCTCCTCATATCATTAAGAAACTCTGGGCTTTTATTATATTGTGAGAATCTGTTGCTCTGCAGATTGTTAAATTACTTCATGCTAGAAATGCTGGTGGTTTTGAATAAGGTGTTATTTTTTTCCTATTGTGTTATTTTTCCATCTTGTTTATCTTTTATATAATCACAGAAAATATTTAGTTTAAAGAGAGGAAAAAAATTCACAAAAACAATGTTTATATGATATGTATATGGTCAGGCTACTAAAGAAGAAGCAGTCTCATAATACATGGCACAATGAACATAAACTGTATATACACATTACTTTAAAAAATCCTTTTGCATGTTTTAAGAATTGGAAACAATTGGTCCTTTAGTGCTTTCTCTCCCTTTAGCAAAGCTCTAGCACAGTGACAAGCAAACAGGCCAGAAGGGTGGACATTTCCCAGAATCTCTACAATGGACATGGTTTTTGTTGGCCTTGTCAGCACCATGGGGAAGCAAAGAGGAATAAACATTAGTGGAACTGACAAGAAACTCTGAGTTTTGCCAGACAAAAAGAACAGAGCAAGAAATTCATATGTGTAAAGCTGGTAAGTTCATCACGCACACATGTTCTCACACCCGGGACTAAAGGGCAAAAGGGTTAAAATCTGAATGAAATCCATTCCTCTGCTGGAAGAAGCATGGTGGCTTAGGGGCTAAAAAGCATTTAAAAAGCATTTAAAACTTAAAATAATGGACAGTATTGTATATGCACTATGTATGCATATATGTATCATATATTCTGAGGTTTTCGCGGGTGTTTGTATGTAGGTCTTTGGTTATTCGGGTTTTCTCCCGCGTAAAATTGGAAATGTCTTGGCGACGTTTCGACGAAGTCCCGTTTGTCATCTTCAGGCTGGTGTTTTCAGCTTCATGCTCACGAAGCTGAAAACACCAGCCTGAAGATGACGAATGGGACTTCGTCGAAACGTCGCCAAGACACTTTCAGTTTTACGCCCGAATAACCAAAGACACACACACACATATACACACACACACACGCACACGCTCACGCACACGTACATACACACACACACACAACAAAGGAATCAAAAAACAATCATAAACCCACCTTGGCACAAAACTATCACTGATGGCACTTATTACAGTGTATGTAACATTTTTACATGTACACACCTGAGCAAATCATCTCAAACGTGCTTTAGGAAAGTATGAATGAAGTCCATCCAGATGTAGTACTCTTTGGAATCTGCAATCCCTTGAAAACGCAGTCTCAGTTAAGAAGACTCTCAGCTTAGCTGAAAAATATATGTCTTTCATGCTAAATGAAATCTGTCTCCAGCCATCAAGTTAATACCTAATATTGGACAAGTTGAAGGGTATTTGTGAACAACAGACCCAGAAATTAATTTGAAGCATTTCTCCCATTGTAGATAGATTATCTTTAAAACATGGTAAGTCTATAAGGGAGATTGGTGGTCTCTAAGTATGATATATAACAATATTATAGAAGAGGAACAAAGTGGAAAGTCCACTTTCAGATCAATGCAACTGATATGAGAGTGGATTTTTAAAATTCAAGCTCCAAGAATTATATGGAAAAAAATACAGTATCTGCATAACTTTCTTATAGTGGATTTACAAAAGAGATTTGTTGAAGCCTTGTAGAGTTTTGTGAGAAATTGTGAGACAAAGAAAAAAAATGAAAAAAACCAACAACACCTAGGACATTACTTGAAGATCGGATTAGATCAGATTAGAGATGTGAAAGAATTAGAGAGAAGTGATAAATTGCTAAAAAAATATCTTTCTTTTCAACACTTACTTCTCTTTATTCATATATTAATTCATTTATGCATCTTATGCATAGGTTTATGGATCCCCATCTCCATTTTATGGTATGCCACACTTGGAATGGTTTCATGTTGGTTCAATGCCCCAAAGCAAATCATAATTTATTTAAGGACCACCAACCCAATTTCACACATCATCTTAAACCAAAATAAAATTAACTATCCATACCATGGGGCAGAGCAATGCATGACTGCCTCTGTCAGACTAAATTCCTCCTTTTTATTTGTCAGACTCCTCTTGACTTTTATTACATTCACGTCTTCACTTCCTTGAAAAAATTCCTCAATTTTTTTTCAGATATGTCTCCTTGAAAATTAATTTCTCTGAAAGCACCTTCCAGCAAGATTTATTTCCTAATAAATGTGTACATGACTCGAATAAAAACAATGTACTAAAACAGTCAGTGGTTGTCACTACCTTAAAATATATAAACTTTTCTTCCGTTGTACAAAAATAAGTACAAAGAGAAAAAAGGTTTATAAGATTTTGTTGCAGTTTTTTTTTTTTTAAGAAAAAATCAACAGCAAAGGAGGAATCAAGGTGAAATCTATCACATGTTATTTTTAGGCATGCTAAGAGCAACTGGCTGCCAGGTTTGGGTGTTTCCCAGACAAATATGTATTTCCTTTTGAATTCCAACCCACCCAGACTGTGTGTGAACCTGTCAAACTGATTGGGTTTATCTCAGGAAAATGTGTAGGCCATTCAGAAATGTTTTAATTGCTTGAGATTCATTTAAAGCAAATGATTGTAAAGACTTGACCAATGCTGGTGAATAAAATAATTATAAATAAATTGTAGGCTCTTCAGATGTTGCTGGACTGTATCTCCCAGAATCCTTCGCCACTGCTCTCCTGGCTCCGCTGAATGGACAGCTGTAATT